AGGCACTGGGTTGAATCCAGACAAACTTGGCTTTAAATCCTAGTTCCCCTTTCTAGTTGTGTGATCTTGGGCAAGTTATTTAACTGCTCTGCGACCCAATAATGTATAAATGAGATTGTGCAGAGGACTAAACAAGTTAATATTTTCAAATGTTCAGGGAAGGAAATACAATACATATATGTATTTGTTAAATGACCCTGGGTTTTTTTTGTTGTTGTTCTTGTTTGTTTTGTTTTAGATAGGGTCTCCTTATGTAGTTCAGGTTCAGCTTGAACTACGGAGCTCAGGCTGGCCTCAAACTTGTGATTCTCCTGCCTCAGCCTCCTGAATGCTGGGGTTATAGGCCTGCAATACCCTGCCCAGTGATTTTTTTAATGGTTATGTGACTCGGGAACAATGCTTATTTCTTGACATTTTCTCCCCATTTAATTCTCACAGCAACCCTAATCACTGACAAAGCATTTCAAACTCTTATATCCAAGGCACCTGTTCTCAAAGGGCTTATCGTTTGCAGAAAGACACTAAACTAGTAAACAGGTTAAAATAAATTCCACATGTTAGTAAGTGTTATGCATGAAGCAAATTCGAGACAGAAAAGGGCCAGGGAGGGGACACTTTGGATAGAATGGTCAGGGAAAGTTACTTTAAGGAGGTGACAATGGAGCAATGCACCAGACATGAGAACCACAAGAAAACACTCTTTTGGAGGGAGGGGGCTGAGGATCGAACCCAGGGTCACTCTACCACCCTACCACTGAGCTACATCCCCAGCCTTTTTTTATTTTGAGACAGGGTCTCACTAAGTTGCCCCAGGTAGGACTCAAACTTGTGGTCCTCCTGTCTCAGCCTCCCTAAATGCTAGGATTAAGACGTATACCACTGTACCCAGCTAGTAAAACATGTCTGTTGTACTCATTTTAAGGAGGAGAAAGCAAAAGTGTACTAAATTAAATTAATTGTACTACAAAGTCAGGCTTCAAAGTTTGACACCTACACCCTTGTTCTTCTGCACGTTTCAGGCAAAGAAAGACTCCCTCCTCCCTCCCTGCTATAGTTAAAATGACCTATATCTAATTCTACTTTAACTCCTTGCTAGTTCCCTGAAAAAGCTCAGAGACACAAAAGGGAACCCACCACCTACACCAACAGTGTAAAGTACCGAACTGTTTTCAGGAGACTGTCATTCTGGCCCCAAACACTAATACATCATTTGCATTCTGCTTGACATTTAATCTAATACTTTTAGCTTTAGAATTGTATTTGACTGTCACCACCTCTTGAGGTTTCTGGGCAGGGATTAATCACCCCAGTTTATAGATAAGCTAAAGCACAAATTGGTGATTATTGGTCTCGACTTAATGACACTGATCAAGTCATTTAAACTACTTGGTTCTCAGCTGTAGAATTTAGTCCAATACTTTTTCTCCAACCAGTGACAGGATCATATATATGGCTTTTTCCTTTCCTCTGTTAAAATAATGACTTTTGGGGGTGGATCTTCCAAAGCTGAACCAACACTGCCATCCCTATAACAAAACCACTTTCTACATACTACCAGATATGACTTCTAATAGTTTGTTAAACAAATTTCTATGTTCATACTTTTTTCTTCTATCTTTATCCAGTTTTAGAATTAGCACAATGTTGATTTCCTAAAATGAGACAAGAAGTGTTCCTTCTTTTTTCTTCTTTGTTTGATATAATTTATCAGTTAAAATGTATATGAGCCTGCTGTTGTCATATAGGTAGGTTTTCAAGCTAGGAATATACTTTCTTTAATAGGTGCTATTCAAATTTTATATTTCCTCCAGAGTTAGTTTCATTAATTTGTCTTTCAAGGTACTTCTTAGAAGTTGTTGAATTTATTTCAAAAAAAATTTCTGTAATATGCTTTCTATATCCTTTTAAATTCTGTAAAATCTGTGGTAATGTCTCCTAGATCTTGATATTGTAATTTAAAAAATGTATAATTGATATTGTGTAATAGGAAGAAAAGGTCTAAAGGAGCAGGGGAAGTGGGAGGGGTAGGGGAAAGGAAAGAAGGGAAAAGAAAAAATATGAGAAAGGGAAAAAAATGGAAACAAAATCTTTGCAAATAGGGAAGGGTGGAGGGGGTGAAGGGAGGGCAAGGGAAGGGGAAAAAAAAAAAGAACCAAGAGACTCATGTAATGGTACAAGATCCCAATGATGAATGTAACTGTATTTTATACTTAAAATGTACCAATAAACTTAATGGGAAAAAAACAACTACTTGGTTCTCAATTTCCCAAATTTTCAATAAAGAAAGGGGGGAGGGCATTGAAATGATTATCATTATTCAGGAGCAAATGTTTGGTGAAATGGATTTGTCACTGGGTAGAATAATAAATGAAAGGAGGGCTGGGGATTTAGCTCAGTGGTTCCGCTGCCTGCTTTTCAAGCGCAAGATTCTGGGTTCAATCTCTGGTACCAAAAAAAAGAAAGGAAAATTTGGTGTACTTTTAAATTTTCTCTAATTTTAATCTTTCTTTTGAGACAGGGTCTCATCATGTAGTCAAGGCTGACCTTGATCTTCCTCCCTCAGGCTCCCAAGTGCTACAATTACAGCCATGGACCACCACGCCTGGCTTCATTTAAAAATTTTTAATACACAGCCAGGGATTTAGCTCAGTGGTTCCGCCACCTGCCTCAAAAGCACAAAGACCCGAGTTCGATCCCCGTTACCAAAAAAGCAAAAAAAATTTTTTAATACAGACTAAATTAGTATGTCTGCTTTATTTCATCTTCTTAACTGCCAAATCTGGGGACATGGGCCGTTTCAGATTCGTTCATGGTAGCTTTGAGATAGGACTGAACAATGAGCTCAGTTTCTCTTCCATAGGTCTTTTCATCTTAATTTTTCAATTCAGAACACCAAACCTAACGAAGGAGGAAGAGAAGTTGCTGAGGAGAAAATCCTTTAGTAATAGATTGGATAACTGAGCATAATGAAATGCAAAATAGCCACGTAAATAGCACAAAAACAAATCATCTTTATTTCACAAATGTGAAGATATTATTTGGACGAGGAAAAAACTGAAACTCACTAAATAAGAATAAAATTAACAAGCTAACCATAATTAAAATATAGTTCAGAAATTTTAAAGTGGTTTTTTTTTGTTTTTTTTTTTTTACAAATATCTTGTATTTGGACTCATTATTATATCGCCTTCAAAGGGCCAGTGTACTCTGCTTAGTTTGCTATGGAAAGCAATAGAACTGTTTCTGGTTAAAGTATTTGTAGTCAGACTTATCATTAACCTTCCACTTATTAATTTGCTTTTTATTCACTACATTTGCCTGTTGAGACTAGACACAGTTCTGGACTTCAAAAGATGACAAGCAAAATCAATCTTTTTGCCCTCTTATATTTTATGGCTAAAAACTTTTTTTAAAAGCAGTAACAAATCTACAATTTATTTCCTTTTTAATATTTTTGGTTAATGTCTGTTTTCAGAGGTACTCAACTAAAATTAAAAAGGGAAATAAAAATTTAAAGACCACCTATAAAGAGTAGCATATTTGATACTTTGAAAAAAACACAAAATGTTAGAAAAGAGTTGTTTTTCATCTGTTGTAATCCCCGGTTGGAAAATACTACCCCCACACAGACAACAGTGAAGAATTTACTCAACAATAATAAATACTTAAGTGGGCAGATGATGCATGCTTGCTCTGCGCTTTCTGGAAAATTAAACACCGGCAACAAAGGGTTCTTCAGCTGCGTGTGTGAGCTTGCCCTCCTCAGGACAAAGTGTCTACAAAGATGTCTACGGGGAGCTATTAATCCCCACTTAGTGCAGATTGCCTAATGAAATCACCTCAATTTGGAAACTCAGGAAGAAAAATGTTCCCATCTGGCATTTTCTACTTAACAAGTTCCCTAGCAAAGTGAATTTGTTCCTTGACAAACTTGAAAGCTAAACTTTTAAAGCAATATTCAGCGATCACATCCTTGCCTAAACTGTATCTAGATTAAGATAATGTGTGCTTTGTTTTTCTCCTAATTTGCAACAGGAAATAGTGAGCAGCTGGCAGTTGCAGAAATTACTTTTGTTTAGGAGTTAAAAAAAATTAGACGTCAGGTAAAAATGAAGATTATGAGGCGCTATTTAAAAGAAGCAGCAAACATACAGCATGCTCATCCAAAACTAAGTTTTCCTTTTTGTTCGCCCAATTTGTCACTGGAAAAGTTGTATTCATTTGTGACAAGCTGCCGGCCGGGGCTTTTAAAACTGACATTTTCTTACCAACGTCACCGAGCACCTCTTCATTGTAGGTGACAATATCCGGGGTACTCTTTTTACACTTAATTTGTGCCAGCTGGGTAGAAACTGCGAGAAGGCCAAGGACCTCGCAGGAAGCCCATTTGGGTCATTTTCTCCACTCGCCACTAGGTTGCACTAGATTGAAGGATGCTGGGGATTATGCGCCATTTAATTTTTTAAAAAATAAAGTAGGACTGTCACGTGACGAGACGGGGTGGGGACGAAGAGCCGAAGCAATCGAGGTTTTTCACTGAAATCCTGGTTTAAATCGCTTTCCCGCAAAAGACCAAAAGAGCTGAAGTGTACTAAATCCGGTTTAGCAAGTTTTCGCTTGCTTTTACCTCACAAGCCCGCTAATTCTCTGCTTTGAGGTTCCTTTCGACTTCACACAGTTAAACCAGAGAGAAAACCTCCTCAAACTGGGGTTTTTTTACCAAAATGGTCAGGGTCTTCCCCTGAGAAGGTCCCGATTTAGGGTTTTATCGGGAGGGGACTGAGCCTGACGAGGCTGCAGGGCCGCGAGGCCCCGCCCCCCCCCGGGTTCCCAGCATGCCGAGCGCGGCGAGGACTCGGCGGCGGGCGAGGGGCGGAGGAAGGGGCGGGGCGAGAAGGAGAGAAGGGCGTCGGTTTTGCGACAGGGGCGGGGCAGTGCGGAAGCGGAAGTGGAAGTGGAGGGTGCGCTTGGTGGCGGCGGCGGGAGCTGCGGAGTCGGGAATCAAAACAAAGGGCCTGGGGGGGGGCGGGTGGAAGGCGGCGGGGCCGGAATGTGAACCGAGGTGGAGCGGGTGGCTGAGGTGAGTTTGCTGTTAGCGCTGGGAATAGACCCTGACGGACCCACTGCTCTGGGGCCAGTGCCCCCCTTCCCCCACTTCTTGCTGGTGGGGTGAGGGAGTTGGCTAGTCCGAGGGCAAGGGCTGGGATACCCCCAGACCGCGCCCCAGAGAGTCAGCCTATCTCCCTTCCAAGTCTGCTCACTGCTGTTACTATGGCGCCACTGTTCTGCTTTTGGGTATTTGGCTCCCCGCCCGCACCTGTCTTCCTGTTCCCTGTTGGGCCCTGCAGGTGTCTCAGCCTTCCCGGAAGGAGCCAAGTTGGAAAGTGAAGAGAAAACGCTCGGGGCGAGTGTTTTTTGCAACCTTCTTGATTGTTTTGCGTTCTGTTCGGCTTTTCAATGGCCCCTAGGGTGTAGCATTGGGGTTTCAGACACTCTCCCTACTAATTGTAACCTCGTGATACACCCTATAGAGTTTCCCAGGCACCTTTCTGATGTTACTGAGAGCTTTCCAGTTACCTTTGTATCTTTTGGACTTCTAAAATATCTGAGCGATATTTTTGTTTTGGCCACGGGGAAATTGAAACTAAACGGTCTTCTTTGACATTTATTGAGCTTTGTTCATTCGTTCAGAAGTTATCTGTTGATTTATGCAAGGCACTGTGCTGTTGCAGGGTGTATCGCTAGTGAATAAGGAAACAGTTCCTGCTGTCGTGGAACTTATGTTTTAAAGGGAGAGAAAGAATAACGTAGCAAGCAAATAAACAAGATCATTTTAGATGGAAGAGCTATGAGAGGGGGAAACCGGTAACGGGTGGAATGGGAGTTCAGAACTAGATTGGGTGCCAAGGGAAGGCCTTTTGCTAATTAGATTATCACGAGTAATCAAACTGACCTCCAACAGGCTCTCTGTTACTAGCAAACCCTCATAAGAGGATCTGAGGTTCAGAGAGGTTGTGAGTTGCCCAAAGCTGCACAAATAGGAACGGGTAGCAGTGGGGAATGAAATGTGGGCAATTGGACGTCATAGCCTGTGCTCTCAGCCACTATCTGAATTGCTCAGACTTGAGAGATTGGCAGAAGGGAGACTCCCACTCAAGCAGAACTTGCTTTGGCTATCTTAAGATGCTTAGTAGCATTCTCAGGAATACTAGGGAAAATTTCAGAGTGCAGGCTGCTAACTAGTTTTTATTTTTGTTTATTTGCTTGTATTGAGCAGTTTTGGAGGCACTTCATTGTTGCAGAAAGAGGTAAACAAGCCTAGTTTTGCCACCTTTCTGCAGTAATTGTGCGATCTTGGGCTAGCTACAAAACTTGTTTCTCTTTTCCCTTCTGTAGCCTGTGACTAATTTCTTCCCACCTCACAGAATTGAGAAAAAAACGTTATATAAGTGAATCCTATTGCCTCCATTTTTGTTGTTTTTGTGGTAATGGGGATTGAACTTGTATAGTACTGTACTTGTGTATTTCAGGCCCTTTGCACCAAAATACATCCCCAGTCCTATTGTTGATGTTGCTTTTGTCATTGTAGGGAAAGATGGAACCCCTAGGTAGGAGAAAAGCAGCCTCTGTGACAGTATGAGACTGTGAACAGCCGGCAGTTTTGTGGTTTTACCCCTAACGCAGGCAGTCTGTGGTTTTGCTTCTGCATCTGTGCAGGCAACAGTGTCCACCCTTTTTCCTTCTTGTATAGGTTGCCCTGCCTGCCTGTTTCCTTATTAGCCCACAAAACAAATCCCTAGCAACAAGCTGACCACCCAATCAGGTGTAGTCACCTTCGGAGAGAGGGGTTCCCAGGTCCCTACCCCATAAGGCAGGACCACTGCCCCAAATTCAGCAGTTACCCAGCTCTGGGGGCCCCATTCTTCAGAGTAGCTTTATACCACTTCCTTCTGCAAATCAACCTTACCTTTGCTTTGTACCATCGTTTGACTTCTCTTTCGACATCAGAGAGAGAGAGAGACCCAGAGAAATTCGAAGGTGGGTTGGCAACCCAGACCTACCAGATGTGACAGTATTATTATTATTACTGTATTATTATTTGAGATGAATTCTGACTAAATTTCTAAGTTGCCCAGGCTGGGCTCAAACTTGGCATCCTCCTGCTTCAGCCTCCCAAGGTACTGGGATTATAGGCTTGATATTCCTGTGCTAAGGTTAGGCCTGCCAAGATACTAAGTAAATATTTGCTGGATAAGGAAATAAATAAGGTTAAATGAAAATGCTGTGTAAACTATTATATTGTAAATGCGAGTTCTCTTTCAAGATTTGGCTTTGGAGAGGTTTGGGAAAGTATGTGGAGCTTGTGTATATTGTGAACATCACAAATTCTTATAATTTAGAGGGGCTTGTTGGGCCACAAAAGACCTGTAAAAACAAGTATCATAATTGAATATTAGCGGTGGCAGTTGACTCCATCTGTTTCAGCATTAACCTCTCCCAACTGTGTGTCTAAGTAAATGGTGTACTTTGTCAGCCCCCTCTTTCAACACACGTTTACTTTTGCTGCTGTGTAGCTAGCCCTGTACTTGGCACAAGATACAGACGTGAAAAGAGATAGTGGGGTACATTTATCTAATTCTTTTTCTCTAGTGGTCTGAATTAAATGGTGAGATTGTAGCTACATTTTACAGAGGAGCAAACAAACTGTTGGATCTTTTGTTTTGTTTTGATTTTTGGTGTGTGTGTGTGGTGTGTGTGCTCGGAATTGAACCCAGAGCTGTGCTTACGCACAAGAGCCTTGCTACTGAGCCTGGAAAGCAGAAACTTTGTAAAGTTTTCTAGCTTCAGAAAATGAGCCACTAAGTAAATATTTTAAGCTTTGTGGCCAGTCTCTGTTGCAAGAACTCACCTCTCCAATTGTGCAAAAGTAGCCAGAACTTTAGCCAGTACTTAAATGAACTCGTGTGGTTGTGTCCCAGTAAAACTTTACAGATACTAAACTTTGGATTTTATTTATTTATTTATTTATTTATTTATTTATTTTGGTACCAGGGATTGAACTTGGGTCTTTGCACTTGCGCAGCAGGCAGCGAAACCACTGAGCTAAATCCCCGGCCCTCATTTATTTTTTTTAAAAAAAGTTTTTTAGAAATTAAAAATATAAAACACATCCGCAGCTTTGTCTAGTTTGCTTCTGCTGCATGTGATCAGCTCTCCCCTACCTTTGACGGTGATCATGTCTCCCCTCCCCTGCCGTGTACATGGTAAAATCTCTTGAAAAGAGCATCATATTTGAGAGAAAAGAAACTAAGTTATTTTCTGTATGCTTAGATGAAATTTTTGATCGTGAAATGAATCATTTGAAAATAGCTGCTGAAGGTAAGAGATAGTGTTGGGATATCGTGGTGAGAATGTGGAAATGAGGTTTAGTTGTCCTCACCATTGACCACCTGCTTTCATCCCAGCAGATGTGGATTGATTTGATCTGCTTTTATTGCACTGCTTAAGACTTACACGACGTGTTCTTACATTGAAATAGATACAGCATATTGGTAATTTCTAGTTCTTGGATTTTTGGTGGTGTGTTACATTGCACTTTCATTATAAGTAAACTAAGATTGGTTTGATTTGTTCACTGGCAGGGTAGAACTCAAAGTCCACAGAGGTTATTTACTTTGACTTTCCGTGTTCGTATCAGACACAGTAGGAAAACTTGATATGGTGGTGGTTCTTTTACTAAGATTAGATGCCCTCTTCTATTAACTTGTTGAATCTCCTTATCAGACTCTTTAGAGGGAGATAGCTGAGAAGAATTAAGGGAAAAACAATAGAAAACGTCTGCTTAAGGCCAGAGAAAGTTGACTCTGGTCAAATGAAAAGAAATGACACTCAGGGATATGTAGGTTGTAAAAAAGAAATAAAATTCATCGAGAATTCATTCTTTTTTGAAGAGTTATGGAACATAAGGAATGGCAGATTATAGGGGGTTTTTTGAGGGAGGGTACCAGGCATGAAACTCGGGACCTTGTGCTTGTGAGGCAGGTGCTGGAACCACTAAGCTAAATCCCCAGCGCTATAGATTTTTTAAAAATCAGATTAATGTTAGATTTTAAGCATAAACAGAATCAGCCAAGTTTATCAAATTTTAGTAACCTGTAATATTTCCATTCTTCTTTTATTCTCTAAATTTGAATTGTTGGAAGCCATTGTTCTCTACATACAGTTGTAGTTTCAAATTTTAATATATCATGAAATTTGCAATATTATGCAAAGAAATAATGTTAAAATCTTCTTAACAGGGTGGAAGAATGAAAGAGAAGGAAGATGAGAGAATGATGAACCACTTTGTATGGCTGTATGATGGAAGGAAACGGAACTGAGAACCCCTGCAGTAGAACACTTGGATGGCTTCAACAAGATAATGATGCTAAGCCATGGCTTTGGAAATTCTCTAATTGCTTTTCTCCTCCTGAGCAGACGTTGCCACTTAGCCCCCAAACGGTAACTATGTGCAAGGACACAGCAAACGCCTTCTGTGAATGGATGAGAAGCCCATTAGCTGTGGGATGTAGTCTCTCTCCCTGGAGTCTCTGCCAGGTTTTGCTGTATATCCTGATTATAGTGTGCCTTGTGACAAATTATGATTCCTGACACAATGAGAACATAATTGTTTAACTCTTATATTCCACTCTGAGTGACAGTGAGTGTTTTAAACATTTAATGTTAAAACTTCAGGAAGTTAAAATTTGTTTCCTATTTAGGTCCTTTTTGTTCAGGATTTCTCTTGAGTATTTATATCTTATTTCTTGTTTTTGTGTGTACACGATGCTGGGAATCAAACTCAGGGAATTGCACTTGCTAAATGCACGTTGTTCCACTGAACTATATCCCCAGTCTCTTGCTTTCTTTATTTTTTCCTGCTGATTTTGACATTTTTTCAAAAATTTTTTTAAATTTAGTATTTGGGGTGGAACCTTGGGCCGTGGCATGATAGGCAAGCATTCTAGCACTGAGCTACATCCCCAGTCCTTTTTAAATTTTATTTTGAGAAAGAGTCTGTGTTGCCAGGCTGCCCTCAAATTTGCAGTCCCCTTCCCCCAGCCTCCCAAGTATCTGGGATCACAAGGAGTGATAACACCTGATTTGTTTCAGTTAAACATGTTTCTGTTTCAGGTCCTCAGGTTACCACTGATTTTTTTTCTGTTGTACTTGGGATCCAAATGAGACTTAAAAATTAAGTTTAATTTTCTGTTTCCTCTAGATTTTACTATGCAGGTTTTTACTATATAGTTGTGTTTGTTGCAAAGCATCAAATAATTTGAGTTAATTCAGAAGGGTTTTACTTTGGGGACAAGGAAGGCTGGCATCTCAGGCAGGACTTCCTTGGATGGAATGGAGAATTTGGTCCTCATAGAGTCATTGAGTTCAGATTTGGACTCGCAACTTTATAGATCTTGAACCATAATGGAGTAAGTTCAGGTGACCAGCTTACAGTAATGTTACCCATGACAGCCGGGCCTGAATAAATCAGAATGCCAGTGTGTGAATTTTCAGTATGAAGTGAAATGACCACAGGGGAAAGCACAATGCTTGTTGCCTGTCAGCCCATTGCTAGTACTTTTTCTTTAAGAAAAGTCTTAACTGAAAATCCAGATTTCTTGCAGATAATGTAGAGTTGTAGCAAAAGGCATGAAATTATAACAGCCAGGTGGACTTTTATGCTTTGAGGAATAAGCATGTCTCAGTCGCCGTGTGAGGACTACCTCTTTGTCCTAAGAGTTCTGTAGTCAGCCCATAAAGGATATTGATTAGTGAGGTTCCCTTTTAGGGGCCAGGTACTTTTAGGGGTCATCTTTGTGACCTGCTGTGCCTGTGTTAGAGTTGTGTAGCAAATTGTTTGTCTTGTACCTCTTTCCCAAATCGTTTTCTAATTACTCTGATTCTTTGCACTGGCTACAATGTAATTGTTGTCATTATGGTTTTAGGTCACAATATCCTAGCATTCCTAAATTGCATCAGCATCATGCCTGTGCCATTTGGGTAGATGTCTGATCTCATCATTAGTGTTTGGAATCTTCTCCTTTAGGAGGCTCTACTAAAACTCCTTATGTACTGACTGCAGGAACTATTAAGTAAAAGTAAACTACTTTGCCTGTAACCATCTGAATGCTGTTTGTGATGTTTTCATACTACTTTTTTTTTTTTTGTAATATTAAGGGTTGAACCCAGAGCCTGAGCTATATCCCTAGCCCTTTTTCTTTTCTTTTTTATTGTTTGTTTGGTTTTTTTTTGTTTTGGTATTGGGAATCGAACTCAAATCTTTCCACTTGCAAGGCAGGCGCCAGAACCACTGAGCTAAATCCCCAGCCCTCTTTTCTTTTTTAAAAACAGGGTCTCACTAAGTTGCCCAGGCTATAGTAGGATTTGTGATCTTCCTGTCTCAGCCTCCCAAGGTGCTGGGATTACAGGTGTACACCGCCATGCCTGGCTCACACTACACATTTTGTCAGGGGAAGTTATGAAAGGGAGACCACTGAGGCACAGATAGTTAAGCTGGTTTACTAAAGTTGCAGACAGACCCTCTAACCCATTCTTTTAAGATTCAGGAAGAACATAGTTTTAACTTGAGTTGTGCGTTTCTGTGCCCACTTCCTGCAGACCTCTCTGAAGAATTCCTCTGGATTTAGCTAGCTGCTATTCTGTTTTTGGAATGATGTAAATAGAATTGTACACTTTTTAATGCAGTAGTGTATTAGCGAAAATCACTGTCCTCTTAAAATTGACTTGTGTTCTGATTTTCTTTTCTCAGAAAGAGTACATGGAGAACAAGAAAGTTGCTGTGGAATTAAAGGATGTACCATCTCCCCTTCATGCTGGCTCTAAACTTTTTCCAGCAGTCCCACTGCCTGATATTCATTCTCTTCAGCAACCTAAAATACAGCTTTCAACTGTCCCCAAAGTAAGCTGCTGTGCTCATTGCCCTAATGAACCCTCCACTTCACCATTGCATTTTGGTGGTGGTGGTGGCAGTAATGGAGGTACTGGTAGCTTGATTCACCCAGCCGCACTCTTAGACTCACAAAGCACCAGGACAGTCACGTGTCAGGTAGGGTCAGGATTTGCTTTCCAGTCTGCGTCTTTGCTCCAGAATTCCTCAGCTAGAAAGAGTTTGGCAGGCATTGCAAGTGACTTCCCCAGCATGTGTCTAGAGAGTAAATTATCTTCTTGCAAACACCTGCCCTGTTGTGGAAAACTCCATTTCCAATCATGTCACAGTAACGTGCACAAGCTGCATCAGTTTCCAACTCTCCAGGGCTGTACCTCCACTGGCTATTTCCCTTGTTCTGATTTCACAAGTGGGGCTCCAGGGCATTTGGAAGAGCACGTTTCACAGACGGAGCTAACGCCTCACTTGTGCACCAACTCTTTGCACCTAAATGTGGTACCTCCGGTTTGTTTAAAGGGCTCACTTTACTGCGAAGACTGTCTAAACAAGGTGTGTATCTTTATTTTTTATGTTGGGTGCAGGTGAACTTTGAGGAATGACTAAGTGATTTGTCTTGAAAAGTCTTACTGGGCATGGGGTTGAGGGTCCTTCTGTGGTGTAAATCTTGCCTCCTCCTCGATAACTTCTGCTGGTCTGAAAGAAGCAAAGGGTAGAAACAATTCAAGGCAGTACATAGTAATTACTTACACAGCTTATGTTTTTAGAGCTTCTGGCTACAATATGTTTCCTATAAATTTGAATTTCGTTTGGCAAAGCCCCTATGTTGTCTTATCTCCAGAAGCAAGAGCACAACTGACCTAACAGTTGTGTGTTTCATATAATGTGGGTAGCCCCGTACTACCTTTGACCTCAGTCACACCCATGTTCAAGTGAAAACTTTGCCACCCTTTATGTAAAGTGTGTGAAGTTTCCGTGGTAGCAGGCATGTGCTCCAGGATGTAAAGGTCCAGGCATGTGAGTATCTGTTGTGATCATCTGAAGTCCTTTCTTGAAATGAAGTTATGATTGATAACTAATGGTTCTCGGAAGATTATTTGAAAATACATTTTATCAGAGGTTAGCATGTAGAAGGTGAAACACTTAGAATGTGTTTTCAGTGTTGTATATAACTCTAGGTTCTGGAATGATTTATCTGAAACCATTTAAAAAATTTTTAAAACAGCCGGCAAGAAATAGTATAATTGATGCTGCTAAAGTCTGGCCAAATATCCCACCTCCAAACACTCAGCCTGCACCTCTCGCGATCCCTCTGTGTAATGGCTGTGGAACTAAAGGAGCAGGGAAGGAGACCACCTTGCTGCTGGCGACCAGTCTGGGCAAAGCTGCTTCGAAATTTGGTAAATGACAGCATGGCATAAAATGTGCACTTTTAAGTAGTTTTCAGTAGCCAGTACAAACGTTGCATTTAATTGCCTTTAAAAGATTCCTTGTGCTTCTAAAGCTGTATGTGAGCTTTAACATATGTGTGAGTCTCCCCTTCCATCTCTGGGTAAAAATCTTTTCAATATAAACCAAAATCAAATGCTGGAGAGACTTAGGATTAACTTAGGTTCATAAACACACTTGATGTACCCTCCCTAGAAGTATTTAGCATTCAGAACAATTTGATAATAGCTGATTATAAATATTATTTGGAAACTAAAATCATTTCCCCAGTTTTTAATATGATAAGTTATCTTGTGAAAACTTAAAAATGTTTAATCAGATGTTAATGAAGTGTAAAAATAAAATCATCAACAGTAACAGCTTCATCTTGTTCATCTCGTCAGTGTTCTTCACACTGAGTAGAGAGACAGGCATGAGCCGAATGTGAAAATCAGGTTCTGGAGTGCCAGCATCTTATTGGTTACTGTTAGTGTTCAGAGAAGCTTCACTCAGCGTAAGAATGGCTCATGCTGTGAATATGTTTATCCCAGGCACGAAGTCCCTTGACCTGTAGATTTGTTTGCTCCTAAGGAACAGGAAAGTCTCTTAGAGTGATATTTCAGCACTTTGGTTGCGTATTTGATCAGCCAGTGAGTATCCTTAACATCAGTAATTTAGTTTTACTCCCACTAAGACTACTAGCTACCTACCTATTACTGTGTTTTAATTTGCCATCTTTTTCACTACATGTAATTTCTTAAGGGTCATCAGAAGTTGCACTAGCCGGACAGGTGCTAGAAAACCTACCCCCCATTGGAGTTTTTTGGGATATTGAAAACTGCTCAGTTCCCTCTGGTCGGTCAGCCACTACTGTTGTACAGAGAATCCGTGAAAAGTTTTTTAAAGGCCACAGAGAAGCAGAGTTCATCTGTGTCTGTGACATCAGCAAAGAAAACAAAGAAGTTATTCAAGAGCTGAATAATTGCCAGGTAAAAAAAAATTTTTTTTTTAAGAATTATAATCTATGGTAGCAGCATAAGTATGGGTGATTTTTTTTTTTTTTTTTTTTAAGAATTCCAACACATTTCTGGCCCATTCATTGTGTTAACATGTCAGAAAATGGACTATATGTTTAAAAAGTTCTGGACAAAGTTTTTTAAGAATTCCAGTTCCAGAGGGCTGGGGATTTAGCTCAGTGGCGCAGTGCCTGCCTCGAAAGCACAAGGTTCTGAGTTCGATCCCTGGTACTGGAAAAATAAACATAAGAATTCCAGTTCCAAATTTAATGACTTCATTGCATTGGTGCTTAGTTTTTACATAAAGGAAATTAGCAAAAAATTATTCCTAAAGGACTAGAAATCATTTAATATTTGATATTTCTGATCCATAGTCGGATGCGTTATCCATTGACCCACTGTTACACACCCAATGTTTGATATTTCAATAATGTTACTTATACAGTGGACCCTCAAGTTATACAACTGCCCTGATATATGAACAGTGTGGGTTCATAAATCAAAATTTTAGTTTTAACTTACAAAGTCTTGACTTACAACCTGAGTGCCAGCCACTTGTGCTTCCATATGGTCTTAGATACAGATTTAACCCTTAAAGAGTTGTGGAAGGAACATTACAACATCCTTTCCTGTGTGGGGTTAACTGAGAAATCCTGGGCCAATGTCTCTCTAAGGACACTGAGATCTCTCAGTATACAGGAGAGAGACTTTGAAGGCTGTGTAGAGGAGCCTGAGCCTTCAGTTGACCAACTTGAGTAACAACCAGCCCTCCAGAACGAATTGACTTTGTAATTCAAGGGTCCACAGTACTTTCATGCTATATTGGCATAATGGTAACATACATTTGTCTCCTTTGGTCATAACTCCTCTGTGAAGCAGGCAGGTAGGAATTATTATTTGCAGTTTACAATGAAAGTAAAACCTTGAGAGGAGACCCAGCATCTTTAAGATCACATGGCCAGTAGGTGAAAGGGGTAGGATTTAAATCCAGATAATCTGAGTTTGAAGTCCATGCTCTGAAGCTAGAATCCAGGTCTTTTGACTCTTAGGCAAGTAATTCCATTGACATTCTATATTGCTGTCTCAAATTATACATTTATGTATAAATTTTAAAAATCCTATGTGTATTACATGTAATTGAGGTACTTGTCAAAATCTTTGCATTGGAGACTAATATATATGTGAGACTGCTAAGTTTTAACAGGAGTCAAGTGTTTTGGTTCCTGTAGGAGCTTCCTCTGTTCTGTCTACCACTTAATCCTAAATCAGTGATGGCGAACCTTTTAGAGCTTTCAGTGATAAAAACAGGCTGCTGTGGTATGTAGGTTCACCAGCACTGCCTTAGATCCCGGGATCCACAGTAAGTGTATAGCAAAGACAAATGTACAACCACAAATCATATCTTAATCATACAGCTGATTTCCAGCGTCTCCAAATTATTGGCAAAAGCTAGTAGGGAAAATTTAATGACTTAATTTCATTTTTCTCTACTTTTTTTTTTTTGAGACAGTCTCGATCCAGGTTGGCACTGAACTCACTCTGTACTTTAGTCTGACCTTGAACTTAACACTCCTCTTGCCTCAGTCCCGTGAGTGCTGGGTTTACAGGTGCACTACCACACCAGGCTCTACTGATTTTCTGAAATGAGGGTAAAAGAAGCTCAAAAGCAGATGAGAGCAGGGTAGTAATACCCAATTAATTCATACGGAGAACCAGGTTTGAAAACGTTGTGATCTAGTTGTAATTTATTTTGCATTTCTAATAATAGTTGTGGAATTGCTTTCCTCAAGAATTATTTACTAAAATGTGGGCAAAATGGGTAGCAGTGTTCTAACATCAGCTTTTGCTCATTCACTCTTACTATAAATTATGCAGGTAACTGTTGCTCACATCAATGCTACTGCAAAGAATGCTGCTGATGATAAACTCCGACAGAGTCTCCGAAGGTTTGCAAATACTCACACTGCTCCAGCCACTGTGGTTCTTGTGTCAAGTAAGTGACATCTGCTGATTTCAGCTAAGCTCACTGTATGGGAACTGTCATAAAGTCAGAAATATGAGAAAGCAATGCGTGCCTTTGAAGAAGCTACATACATAAGACACACTGATGTGTATTATTTAGGAAAATAATTGAGCCTGTGTGAACTTTTTTTTTTTGGTACTGGGGATTGAACTCGGGTCCTTGTGCTTACGGGGCAGGTGGCAGAACCACTGAGCTAAATCCCCGGCCCCCTGTGTGAACTTCTATGGTCTTCCTCATGGGACTTGAGTTCTTATTAAAGAAAATGTAACTTTAAGATAAAGACAATGTGATTTTGGTGTTTTGGGGTTTTCTACCCTGGACCCAACCAGTATTACTAACTTTAAAATCTCAACATGAGTAAGTTCCAAATTTAAGTCTCCCAACATATAAATATCTGCTCCCTATTAATACTAAAAGTAGCGTATGTCTTGGAATTCCATTATAGGTATGTAGTAAAATTTCCTTACCATGGAAATTCTGAAAGGAAATATATATTTGTTCACATAAGGGAAGAAAAGTAATCTTGAAAACAAGCCAGCCATTCCTCCTTCCTTCCCAGGGAGTGTTCCTAGGACCGTCAGGTGTTTCTGATGTTTGGCAATGGGATTGATTGGCGTATTTTCTTTCAGCTGATGTCAATTTTGCACTGGAACTTAGTGATCTGAGACACAGGCATGGTTTCCACATAATTTTGGTCCATAAAAACCAGGCCTCAGAAGCACTGCTGCATCATGCTAACGAGCTCATCAGATTTGAAGAGTTCATTTCAGATTTGCCCCCCAGGTTACCACTAAAAATGCCAGTAAGTGAATTTACATTATTTTTGCCATTTTCCAGTGTTAGATTATAGAGGCCAAAAGTCCTTAACAAGGAAGTTAACACATCCAGGTGGAGCTGTTCTTTGTAGGAGGCTGATTGGATTTTGAAATTAGGCTTGGAAACTTTCAGTGTTTCTTGTTTGTTTGGGTTTTTTTTGGTACCGGGAATCAAACTTGGGACCTTGCACTTGCAAGGCAGGCACTGGAACCGCTGAGCTAAATCCCCAGCCTGCTTCGATGTTTCTTGTACAAAAAAAATAATGTTTCTTTTATTTTAAAAAAATATAGGGAATTGACTTGTATATTCTTTTTTTTTTTTTCTCCCCAGTACCTGGGAAACTCAGGACTTTGTGCTTTCGAGGCAGGGACAGTGCCACTGAGCTAAATCCCCAGCCCTGGAATTGGCTTGTAGATTCACCTTATCAGTAGTCACTTCCTGTTGTCCCCCAGACTATCAGTGTTTTATATCAAATGCATGGAAATAATGGAATGAGAGTCATTACTCATTTGGCTTCCAAGTATTATGGGTAGAGAATATGATGAGTTCACAAATACAGTGGACCCTCAAGTTACAACTGGCCTGACATATGAACAACTTGGGTTAATTAGGTTAATGGAAGAGTCATGTGCCTCTTTAGCATGTACTCAGGTAAACACCTCAGCTGTGTTGACTTACTACCAGCTTGAGTTACAACCAGCCCTTGGGAACTAATCAGTTCGTAAGTCAAGGGTCCACGGTACTCATGTGTTTGGTATCATATAAACAAGGTAATTGTGGATCTTTAAAGTGTTTAATCTTTAGGTTCCAGCAGGCCTCCGAGTCTGTGCTTTCTTAAAGGGCACACTTAGGAGTTAAAGCTGTGTCCTAGTAGAGTATAAGCATATTTCCAGGAAGGAGGACACTTTGTTAGGCTTGATTTGGCATAAGAATGTTTACTGCAGTGCTGAGCTGACTTTAAGCTATTTGGAAAATGTATGTAACTTTTTTTTTTAGGTACCGGGGATTGAACTCGGGTCCTTCTGCTTTTGAGGCAGGCAGTGGTTTTGCCGCCTCCTGTGCAAGCACAAGGACCCGAGTTCGATTTCCGGTACCAAAAAAAAAGGTATAGTGATAATGGTGGAGAGGTGCCGTGGTCTAGATGATCCAAGAAAGTAGGCAATTCCATACATTAAATGCAGTTTTAACATATAATTTAATAACTTCAGAGATACAGGCATACCTTATCTCCTCTAACATCCTCATTAAAGGGAAGAAGTCAGCGCTTAGAAAAATAAGCAAGTCATTGATGGGAGCAGCAGAGCAGAGGCTGGGCCCCAGCTCTTCCAATTCAGTCACTTGCTCAGCTGATCCCACTGCCAGCAAGCCCGGGGTCTGGCCCAAGAGGAGTCACATGCTACAGACAATTAGTTAGGGATACCAGAGTCTTACCAAAGGAGTAACATACAGCTCTCTTGAGCCTCTTTCTAACTCATTTTTGTCATTTTTTTTTTTAGTCTTGTAGCTAGAGTTGCATTTACTCCCTTTTGCTCTGATTTGTACTCCGTTTTTTAACATTGAACACCATTAAGTCAAATGTAGTATTTAAAAAAAAACCCACAAAAAAACCCTGATCATCCAAAACATTTATTCTTCTCAGATGTTTTTTTCTAACTCACTAGAGGGATAGCATGTGACACATACTTTCTTGTTTTTCATTCTGTCTCTTTAATAAATGGATGTATGTCAGGTCTGCCTGGATCTTGAGTCTAATAGAAAGAATATAGATTTTGTTGGTCACCAGCCTTCCTATACAAAGGAGAGGCCCTGTAAGAAAAATGTTTATTGGAAAAACAAACAAAAAACTATATGCAGAAGTGTGGAAAGTGAAAACCCCACAGTCCTGCCCTGCAGAGGTAATCACTTACCGGTTTGGTATTATCCTCCAGATTTTATAATTGTAAATTAAAAAGTCTCACATGCATAGTGTTTAACCTAACAATATCAAAACTCGCTTATCTTTTCATCTCAGTATACATTAGCATAAGTATACCACGTGTAAAACCCGGAATGTTAAACCAGACACAGTGATGCACACCTGCAACCCCAGCACTGGGAGGCTGAGGAGGAGGATTGCAAGTTCAAGCAAGGGGTAACTTAGTGACTCAGCAAGACTCTGTCTCAAAATAAAAAATAAGGCCCTGAGCCAATGCCCAGTACCACAAAAAGAAAAAAAATAATGAAAACCGTAATGTTGATTTGTAACCATACTTATATGGCTGCTCTTTAAGTTATCTAACCATTTATCTATTAGTGAGCATTTTGTGTATACCCTGTTTTTCTGCCATCTGCAGAAAGCTCATCCATGTTGTCTTTATGCCCCTAGACTAACAGTTTATAGGGTAAGTTACAGGGTGTGGCAGTTCTGGGTCAGAATGTTACTGGCACACTGCAAGGTGATATCTAGGGAGGTGATATTGATTTACAGTCTTAAGGATTCCTAGGGTCTGTTTAAAATATTTGTAAGTCTGATGGGCACAAAATACTGTCTGCTGCAGTTGGCCTTTTTATTAATCATTAGCAAGGTGCAAGATAATTCTTTTAATGTTATTTATTGTCTCGATATTTCTCTTGTAAGTTGTTTACATCTTTTGCCCATTGTTAGTGATTCCTTTTTTTTGTACTGGGGATCAAACTCGGGTCCTTGCGCTTGCACAGCAGGCAGCAAAACCACTGAACTAAATCCCCAGCCTGTTAGTGATTCCTTTTGTGGCTTCTGGATTTAACCTTTTCTGTGATTATTTTAAGTTGTTTTCTTTTTTTCTTTTTTTTTTTGGTACTGGAGATTGAACTTGGGACCTTTTGCTTTCGAGGCAGGCAGCAGAACAACTGAGCTAAATCCACGGCTATTTTAAGTTTTCTTCTGGCTCTTCAATGGCACTGTTTCTTAATATACAAATTTGAATTCGTCTGGAAGAGTTATGGCCATCCAGTTCCTAATACAGCTTCTAGGCTGAGGGTTACCTGCTGTTGTACTTAGACTTGAATTGTATACAATATTATTCTTCAGCCCTGCTAAATAAATAGACGTGTAAAAACTTTATTAAGCTGTGATTTACATTGCACAAAATCCACCTCTGTTAAGTGTACAGTTCAGTGATTTTTAATAATTTTACACAATTGTGCAGCCAGTTTTAGAATATATCCATCATTTCAATAGGATCTCTTATGCTAGTCTATAGTTAATCTCCATTCCTTCCTCGAGAAACCTACTAATCTGTATCTGAAAATTTGCCTTCCCTGGACATTTTATAGAAATGGGATTATGCAATATATAGCCTTTTGTGCCCCATCGTATTCTTTACAACAACATTAGGTTACCTTGTCACAACACTAAATAAATTTATTCTCCCAACTAACAGTCCTCTCCCATGTTTTAAAATTGTATGTCCTTGAGTTAACCTAATGTAACTTTTTTTTCTTTGTATCAGCAGTGCCACACTCTGCTCTATGTTTATAACCTACCAGCAAATAAAGATGGCAAGAGCATTAGCAACAGGCTCAGGCGCCTGTCTGATAATTGTGGTGGGAAAGTGCTGAGTATCACAGGCTGCAGTGCAATTCTCCGCTTCATAAACCAAGATAGTGCAGAACGGGCTCAGAAGCGAATGGAAAATGAAGATGTCTTTGGTAATAGGATCATTGTGTCATTTACTCCCAAAAATAGAGAACTTTGTGAAGCAAAGAGTTCAAATACAATTGCTGATAAAGTGAAATCTCCCAAAAAACTTAAGAATACAAAACTGTGCCTCATCAAAGATGCAAGTGAACAATCTTCCAGTGCCAAACTCATGCCTGGAAAAGGGTCACAGGCAAATTCTGGATCTGCTACAAAAACTACAAATGTTAAAAGTTTACAGGTAATTTTGATATTTTTTCCTTTCTGAAGTTTATGGTAGGTTTAATTTCTTCATTTCTATGCTGTATGGCTTTTGGTGTGTGCTTTTTATTATTTCAGTTTTTGGTAATACTGTAGTGAAAGTATTTTCTGTACAGTCTAACACATGTTGGATACTGAAATTTGAAACTCACCGTACTTGTGTCTTTTAAGGAGTTGTGCCACATGGAGTCAAAGACTGGTCATCGAAGCAGTGAGCACCAGCATGGTAATGTGAGGCTGGCACCGCCTTCGCACAGTAACCCAAGCACTGTAGGGCCGACACCAAAAAGCTCGGGGGTGGCAGAGGCGCTTTACAAAAGCAGCCAGAAGTATGTTAAGTTACTTTCTCTCCTAGTTGCTGCTTTAATCGATAGAAACGAAGATAGGTGACCTTCAATTTTTTTTCTTCTGTTAGAAAAGAGACCCTCAGTTCCCGAAGTGTTACCAGTTCTCCTATAGAGAAAAAAGATGAAGAGACTGTCTTCCAAGTGAGTTACCCATCTGCTTTTAGCAAGTTGATTGCATCAAGGCAAGTCAGTCCTCTGCTCACATCTCAGTCTTGGTCTCCTAGGTAAGTCCAGATTCTTGACCTGTGTGGGTGGTTATGTGCAATAGAAAGGCTTAGGAAATACTATGTATACTGGAAAGACTTTAGACAGTACAGAAGTACAAAGTAAAAAATAGGCCTTCCTCCCTATCCCCTGATCCCTTCTTTCTCAAGTTATAGCTGACATTTAGGGTAAGTGCTTCTCACCGTTTCTCCCCCTCCGCACAGAAATCTTGGTAAGCAGAGGTCAAAGAGAGAAAAACCTTAGTCCCTGGCCAGTGATGGAAGGCATGTTAAGATGCCTTTACATTTAACCTGTTGTGGAAAAAGCCCAAACTAGGCATGCATGGCTTATTATTAATATGGCACTTTGTAGGAAGTTGTTTTCGAAGTAAGGTTCTCTGTAGACCTTATGTGGATCTGTATAATCACATCTAAAAATTCACATGAAAATGTTCTGTGCAGAAGGATGCAGCATATGAGCCAGCTTTTCATAAGCCAGCTAGCTTTTCAGAGCCACAGAGGAGGTACAGTGGCTGAAATTGATAACACAAATCTCCTAAGTACAAAGTCAGTTCATAAAGACTGCCGATGACTTCTGCCTTTAGTTTTAAATAAGCCAATGAAAGAATATTTGGTATTAAATAATTCATTGATCATTTAATAGAGGCCACCGATACTTCAGACAGTGCTTAATCAGTACATATTTAAGATGAAAATACATTGGAAAACTACACAGTAGCCAGGAATGGTGCCACACACCTGTAATCCCAGCATTTGGAAGGGGGAGGCAGAAGGATCACAAGTTTGAGAGCCTAGCTGGTTCAACATAGCAAGGCCCTGTCTCAAGGAAAAAAGAAAACCAAACAGGGAAGCTTTTTCTGTCTGTAGCTTCAGACAAAGCCAGAATGACAGAACCATTTTAAGAATGACCTCCACACATGTGTTTTCAGCAGGAGTTTGTCTCCAAGCCTTTCAAACAGAGCATCCCCACTTGCTTTCAACCTTGCCAGTTCCAGCGGTGGAGCCAGCCACCCGGACCCCTTTGCAAATGGTGCTGACATCCAGGTCAGCAATGTAGACTACAGACTGTCCCGGAAGGAGCTGCAGCAGCTCATCCAGGAGGCATTTTCCAGGCATGGCAAGGTAACCCTCTCATTTGTGTTCTTGTTGGTTTTTACCCATTGGTAGAACTTCACATGGGGAGACGTTAACTTGACACATATAATTACAGCCAGTATATAACTGTGACTGGACAGGTGTGACTCTTTTGTTTTCTTGAGGTAGCGCCATGCCACCAGTGTCTGGGATACAGCCCCAGAAAGCAAGCAATGCAGCAGTGAGCAGGATTTGTCATTCGCAGGGGTTTAAGTGGCCCTTTGGGAAGTAAAACATTAATGGGTTTTAGTTAGCTCTGCCTGATGAAATACAGAAATAGTGTTCTAAAATAATGTTGGCTGTTTTTCTTTAATTCCTACTGCATCTGACTCAGTATTTTAGGTACAGTTTGCTAAACTCAGGGTTTTGTAGGGTCTAGAGAGGAGCTTGAAGATTCCTCCTGGGCATTGGCCTCTGAGACTGGCTCAGAGCTGTATGTGCCAGAGTGTACAGGTTCACCAGGCTGGGTCATGTCTCTGCAGGTCACCTCAAGCCAGTCACCTGTATTCTGTCTGGCAGGAGTGTAGCATTTCATACAGGTTCCCTCACAAGCTAAAGTGCACAATTGTGTCCTTTAATGATTCACCTTCAGTTTTAAGATGATGGTCCTGAGTAGAGGTAGCATTGTGTTTGTCTTTTTGTTGTTGTAGGTGAAGAGTGTTGAGCTCAGCCCCCATACAGATTATCAGCTTAAAGCCACTGTTCAGATGGAAAACTTACAAGAAGCAATTGGTGCAGTGAATAGCCTCCACAGACATAAGATTGGCAATAAGAAGATTCTGGTCTCACTTGCCACAGGAGCTGCTAATAAATCACTCTCTTTACTGAGGTAAAACCAAACAAAACACCCAGACATTTATTTCAAGAGATAACATTTGGAGATAACATTTGACCCAGAAACAGCTTTGGAAATAATAAAAATAGATTTTATCACATTTCCAAATCGCTCATGATAATTAGATATGCAGTAATGTTTATTTTCATTCGATAAGGTTAGAAATGACCGTTTGAGTCTTGTTCAGGTCATTAACTATAGATGAAGTACAGCTTAAACTTGGCAAGCTTTTGGGGATAAAATAGTATGCACCTATGGAACAGGTTCTAAAAATAGTAGCCCTCTACCTAGAAGCTTATAAGCCTGAAAAGTCTAAAATACCTTCTTCATACCATGGTAAAAGATGGATTTGTCTATAGAGACTAGGTCTGTAAAGCTCCAAATTCTCAACTTGCAGGTATATCCGTAATGTCAAATACACTGCAAGCCCTATAAGTCTACATTATGACTATATCAATTTTGGGAGTCTTGTGATTTTATTCATAATATTTGATTCTTTGGCTTTCCTTGTTTTGAGGGTAAATAATAAAACAGGATTCAGTCCTGAATGTCTGTTTGAACAATCAAGAATCTTTTCCGTAATTTGTACCTCACCACTATTTAAAATTGCCTTTTTCCCCCTTAGAATAAAAATAATTCTCATTGAAGAATAATTGGAAAGTTTAGAAACAGAAGAAGCAGGGAGAAAAAAGTTATCCATAGTTCTGTGGCCAAAATCCATACTTAACAGGGTGGGCATTTTGTTTTTTGGGTTATTTACCTCAGAGTTTTCCTTACCTTTTGACTTTTGAAATTATATTCAGTTGTGCATCCAGTCACCTGTATATATAGGTCCATCCAATTCCATAATGTGACGTTTAAATTGCACTGTGGCAGGAGATGCTTCAAGCTGTTCTGCCTTTTACTGTGCTTTAACACTCAGGTGCTTATCCTACTGTGCCTAGTCAGGGTCCTTGTGCTCCACAGGTATGGAAGGGCCTTTGAGTCTGATAAAAATCTTAGTGTGTGACTTAATCTTTCATTGGGTTGTTCTTTAAAATCCTTTTAAATTTTCCTAGAAAGCAAATTCTGACATAATCAGAAACTTAACAGATTTACTTTGTGTAAACATCATGTTAATTTTATGAATTGTTTTAAAACCACTGAAATGTAGAGGTAATAGTCTCTGTTCTCTAATTAGTTAAAAAATTTGTCTTACAGTGCAGAAACAATGTCTATTCTTCAGGATGCCCCTGCCTGTTGTTTGCCTCTTTTTAAATTTACAGATATCTATGAAAAAAAGTAAGTTAGATTTCTTGTTTCATTGATCCAGTCAGTATTTATTGGTGACTTCCACGGACAAAACCATGGTAGCATAGGAAGGAAAAAGCAAAGACCTTGACTGTTAACTCCATGGATAGTGGGGAACCCCTAAAATAGTGGAGGAGGGCGGGGAGGGACAGGCATGGTGACAAGAACCATACTTCAGGAAGACTGTCCTGGTAGCAGTAGTATCTGAGGCGGAATAAACAGAGGAAAAGAGAGAGGAAAAGGGTGCTTCTCAGGCCCAGCCCCAAGCAGATGCTGTGGGAACAGAAGAAACCAGATGCCATAGAAATTTCAAACGTCAGTGCGGCAAGAGTGGGCAACTATAGTGTTAAGGAGCAGTGTGAAAAGTGGAGTCATTTTTGCCTCCCCTCCCCTGTGGATGATTAGGAAGATGTTGGGGTAGTTAAACTGGAAATAGGAGGGAAAAGTGTGAGCAGAGAATACAATGAGTATTCTTGGTTTTGGACATACAAATTCCAGGGAGCCATTTGGAGTAGCTGGGTAGAGTTCTACAACTCTGCTGTGCATTTGAAGGCTCCCTCAGGAGAGAAGTCAGTGCCCCAAAATGGGGGCAGTTGTTTCCCTAAAGGTGATTGGTGTGGGCACACAGGAGACCAGAGGAGGTGGGAGAAGTGGAGAAGGGTGGAACTGGACGGGAGATCCCAGAAGTGAGGAATTTGGAAGAAGGATGTGTGGAAGAGAGCACATCAGGCATGTGGGGATTATGGGGGCTGCTGGGACTCAAGGGTGCATTATAAGGTTTGGGAATGAGGTGGAAGCCACTGGTGACCACAGAGCTGTTGGGTAAAACACAAGCAGCTCCAGAGAGGCTGAGTGTTCCCATCCAAGAGATGAGAGCAAAGGGGAGAGCACATGTTTCCCTGGGAGGTAGAGAATGGGCATCTGGGAAGATTTTAGTGTGGATATAGGGTGCTGGCACAGGCAAGAAGAGCAGCTATTGTTCCTTAGGCCATGAGTCAAGCCCTGGCCATGCTTAATCACATTTCATCCTCACAACCCAGTGAGACACGTGCTGTCATCACCCCATTTTACCATTGGAAAAACAGGTGCAGATTGGGTTGTGTGTCTTGACTAAGGTCACACAGATTGAAACTGAATCAAGATAGGAATTCCAGTCTGCCTCTGGAGCCTGGGCCTTTAACCTCTGAGTAGGAAAGATCCAAGTCAGAGTGATCAAGTTGTTCAGTCTCAGAGCACACGCGGTCATGCAGCTGAGGCATAGAAAGTGAGAGAGCCCTGGAGAGGACATACTTCTAATGAGGGTGGAGAGCAGGATGGTGAGAGGTAATCCAGAGGGAGGGGGAAGTGAGGGGAAGCCATGTTGCGAGTGGTCGTGTCAGATAGCTTTCCAGCTCAGAAACAGGTGAGGGCATTTTTACAGAACCTGGGAAGGTGTGAGGGAAGACGCTACCAAGTGATGTGGTTGTTGTACTGGGCACTGGACTCCAAGGAGTCCTGGGCATCACTGGCTCGGTAGTGAATGAATTCACAGAATAGTCTAGTGTTACTTTTGAAGAGATGGAGGCACCATTCTGAGTTTTGGCTCAAATATTTAAACAGGTCTTTCTGTACATCAAAGGAAGACATTCTCTCTAAGTCACATCTCTTTTTTTCTCTTTGTGTTTTAGGTTTGGACACAAGTTGAATGTGTCTGATTTATATAAATTAACAGACACGGTCACAATACGTGAACAAGGAAACGGGCGGCTGGTATGTCTCTTACCCAGTAGTCAGGCCCGCCAGAGTCCCCTGGGATCTTCCCAGTCACATGACGGCTCCTCCACGAATTGCAGCCCAATCATATTTGAAGAGTTGGAGTATCATGAACCCATTTGCAGGCAGCATTGTTCTCATAAGGACTTCAGGTGTGTCACTGTTTTCCTTAAGTAATCTTTTCATATAAGATTATGGAGTATCTTTTAAAATTAATTACACTATTAACATTTTAGACCTCTGAGAAATGTCAGCTGTTTTCTTCTTTTTTCTCCAGTGAACATGAATTTGATCCAGACTCTTACAAGATTCCTTTTGTGATTCTTTCTTTGAAGACATTCGCACCCCAGGTTCACACTCTCCTCCGGACCCATGAGGGCACTGTGCCTTTATTAAGGTGACCACGTCAGGGCCTTTGTCAGTGTTAATGCCCTAGTTCTCCTTTTTACAGAAAGTCTGCCCACTCTTACTCTCCCAAGTGTTGCAGAGTGCTTAGCCTTGAAGTTGATGGTCTGAAATGGGATTTATTCACTCAGTATTTCATCAAGAAAATTGTGTTTGTGTTAAATTTTACAAACATAACCATGAGCAGGACAGTTTCTTCTCCACAGGAAAGAGATATATTGTAGTTGCTGTAATAGAAATCTGGTAGGTCCCAGGGAAATCTACACAACCCCACTATTTGCACATTTTAAGACTTCAGAAATCTGTTTAACCACTTGAGGGTAGACTTACAGGACAAAGTAGCCTTAATGCCCCATACAATAAAGCAGGTGAATCACTGATCTGTAACCTGGAAAACTGGCCGGGAATTTCTAGTACCATCATGCATCAGAGGCCAATGCCACAGCAGTTGACTCCCCAGGACCTCAATTTTAACATTCAAACCCAGATTGTAGACATTTAAACAGAAGGCACTTAATAACACAGTAAACTAGAGCCTCCTATTTAGGGGGTGCTTTTATTTTCCATTATTTTAACCTTTGTTTTCCCACACTTCAGCTTTCCAGATTGCTATGCTGCAGAGTTTGGTGACCTAGAATTAGTGCAGGAAAACCAAGGGGGTGTCCCATTGGAGCACTTCATCACCTGCATTCCAGATGTGAACATGGGCACTGCTCAGAATGGCGTCAGAGTGGTGAAGTGGATTCACGACAAGCCCCCACCTCCCAGCACTGGTAGGTGTTGGGATTTAGACCTGAGCTCCCACAAAGCTGGGAGGAGCCACACCATTTGCCAGCTATGGGTGTGCCCTGAGTTGCTAGTGTCTGATGCCGCTACCTTTGAACAACACTTTAAATTGTTGCCTATATATATATTTCCTTCTCTTTGACGCTAACATGTCCTGTCTCCTTCTACCTCCCCCTGCTATAAGAAAAAAGATCAGGATAATCAGGACATTCTGCCAAGTCAAGCTGCTTGGAGGAGAAATGTTTGTTACTGAACCCCTCCTTTCCCCTCAGTCTTAGGCTGCTCAGGAGCCGTGGATTATCCTACCTCTCCTTTCTCTCTCCTGACCCATGAGTTCACAAGCCCATTCCATCTTTTTATAAAGATTTCTGTCTGATTGGTTTTTTTAAAATGCTTTTTAGGTATGAGCATTGGGATAACACAAAACCTGTCTCTTACTCAGTTTTAGTCCTAGTAGTTCTTTTTGTTTTTTGTTTTTTGTTTTTTTGGTACCAGAGATCAAACTCGGGTCCTTGCGCTTGTGCAGCAGGCGGCGAAACCACTGAGCTAAATCCCTGGCAGTCATAGTAGTTTTACAGCATTACTGGTTTCCTTGGCTTTCTGGGTAACGTTCTCAGCTCCATTGTGATTCAGTTAACCTCCTTCTGCACTCCCTAATCAATGACCATTTATAATTTTGTCCCTGTGGGAAAGTATGTTCCTCATGACCAAGTTGCAAATGGATCTTTGAAAAACAACCACCAATAGACTGGAAAATTCCTGTGTTTTCACTATAAAAATAACACTACAGTGAACTGTGCTTTACTTTGACTTAACTTTGAGAAGAGTGGGGAGATTTGCCAGCCCATAGATAAGTTGGAGTAGCCAGTTGATTATTTGAGACCTCAGTATAGAAGCTAAGACAGAAGTACCTGCTTGCTCATGATTGAACTTTGTAGCTGGGAACTACAGTTAGTTACTTCCTTTTAGCTGGTGAGATCATGCTTGTGTCTTACATGTGTTCTTTCTTTCTCTAGACTCTTGGCTACTGCGCTCTAAAAGTCCTGTAGGTAACCCCCAGCTGATCCAGTTCAGCAGAGAAGTGATTGACTTGCTGAAGAACCAACCATCTTGTGTCATACCAATTAGTAATTTCATCCCAGCCTATCACCATCATTTTGCAAAGCAATGCCGAGTTTCTGACTATGGTTATTCCAAGCTGATTGAATTATTAGAAGCAGTGCCTCATGTGTTGCAGGTAAAAAGTGATAAGGAATTATTTATTTAAAGTCAGGAGTGTTTCTCCATGACTTTACCCCAGCCAAAGATAGATAGTGATGTAATTCCTAAGAAACCAGTTCTGAGCAAAACATCCTGGAAATGCTTTCTGCAAAGTGCAGGAAACATATAGAAGGTGGCATCTCAGTTTTCCAGGAAGCTGCAGATTTCCAACTTAAAGGCACTAGTACTTTGAGGACTGCAGAGTATTTTCCCTCCAATCTCTAAGGGCTGACTCCTGCCTCCTTGCAGTACGGTTCTCTCCAGAATTGTTCATTATTACAGGGAAACTGCTGTGCACATCACTGTGCTTATATATTGGTGGCTATGGGAGAGTCAAGGGCTTAATCTTTCTTCTAAGTGAGTTGGAGACTGGTTACTGGATAGGAGTGTAGAGTCAGATCTGATGAAGATTTTGCTTATTAACTTAGAGTGTTGTAATGGTTTCCCACTTGTAAAAATGAATTGAAAAGGGCTGGGGATTTATCTCAGTGGTTCTGCTGCCTGCTGCCTCACAAGCACAAGGTCCCGAGTTCAGTCCCCAGTACCAAAACAAAACAAAACAAAAATGAATTGAAAACTGTTAGCTGTCTTTTTGTGTCAAAACTAGTTGTCCAGACTAATAATGTGCTTTTTATTTTGGGGCTTAGGACTATTTGTGAGAGGGTGTGCAGAGTCCCGCCACCCCTCCAAAAACAAGTAGTCCCAGTCAGGAAGGTTTGTTTTTTGTTTTGAATTCAAACTCAGAATCCTGCTGCCATGGCCTTCTAAGTACTGAGATTACAGATGTGCACCACCACGCCTGGAAGATAGATGTTCTATTTGACTGTCTCTGTAAGAATTCTGTGAGAGTGGGACAGGAAGGAGGGTGAGGGAGGAAGATGGAGCATGTGTTCATGAATGCACAAGAAAGTCTCTCCTGAGGTCTCAGGGGTATAAGTAATCAACGTATTTGTTTTGCAGATTCTTGGAATGGGTTCCAAACGTCTGCTGACCCTTACCCACAGGGCCCAGGTGAAGCGCTTTACTCAGGATTTACTTAAACTTCTCAAATCCCAGGCCAGCAAACAGGTCATTGTGAGAGAATTTTCACAGGCCTATCATTGGTGAGTTGATGAGAAGTACATAAAAAAGTGAAAGCAAAAATTTTAAAATGTTTTCTTTCCCCCAAATTTCAAGTTGTCTCATTTTCTATTAAGCACTCTTTCAGAAAACTTGTAGTTATTTTAGCGCTGATTTTATTCATTCTTTACCCTTTTCCAATGTGAATACCTAGGTGTTTCTCAAAGGACTGGGATGTCACTGAGTATGGTGTTTGTGAGTTGATTGATATCATATCAGAGATTCCAGACACAACCATCTGCTTGTCCCAACAAGATAAAGACATGGTGATTTGCATCCCCAAAAGAGGTATGCAGCTTACAGTCCTGGGAGAATGTTGTCTGTCTCAGTAGTTACTGATGTTTTTGTCTCACTATGTTGCAAAGGCCAGTGTCAAATTCCTGAGTTCAAGTAACCCTTCTATCCCATCCTCTCAAGAGCTGGGACTACAGACACATGGCATCATATTGGGCTCAGTGGTTATTATTTTGAAATGTAATATTTTAGAGGGTGCATAGGGTATTGTCAAGTTGCCCAAGCTGGCCTCAAACTTGAAATTCTCCTACCTCAGTCACCCAGGTAGCAAGGATTACAAGTGTGTGCCATTGCGCTTGACTAGTTTGTTTTAGAATTCACCCAAAGGGGAAAAAGGTATATACAGCACTTTTAAAACTCCTCCCAGAAATAGGGCTCATTTTCAGGGAATGTCTCTGCTAAAATCATGCTAGAACCTGTTTTCTGAGTAAGTCTTATTTTTGGGGAAACACAGTTATGTTGCCCACATTGATATCCAGCTACACGTTAATTTTATTAGTACTGGGGATTGAATGCAAGGCCTTTGCACTGAACTATATCTGTAGCCTGTTTTTATTTTTATTTTGAGACAGTCTCACTCAGTTGCTGTGTGGCCCAAGCTGAGCTTGAACTTCAGATTCTCCTTCCTCAGCCTCCCAGAGTGCTAGGATTATAGGGTTGTGCTACTAGGCCCAGCTCAGATTAGAGTACGTGTTTGGTTTTGCTTGTCTATGTTTAGAAAGCAAAGTTCTCTTGTAGACTGAACTGGACTTAACTACAGTGTGGATGTTAAACACAAATGGATAGCAAAAGACTGATTTATGTTTTGCTTTGTTTCCTTTTTAAAGAACGTACTCAGGATGAAATAGAAAGGACAAAACAGTTCTCCAAAGATGTTGTTGATTTGTTACGTCACCAACCCCATTTCCGGATGCCCTTTAATAAATTTATCCCCTCTTACCATCACCACTTTGGCCGGCAGTGTAAACTTGCATACTATGGATTTACCAAACTACTTGAACTATTTGAAGCCATACCCGATATTCTGCAAGTGAGTGAAGAAATTCTAATTCTATAAGTAGTTTTCTAAATAGTATAAAAGGATTTTTTTTTTTCGTTTTCAGAACTAATTTTCCAGGGAAGTAGAGATATAAAAGGATATGACAACCAGAAATATTCCCATCAGAGAAGCTATGTTGTTGATTTATTAATATTTTTAGCTAAGTGTCGGAGACTTTTTTCTTTAATAAGGAATTATTTTTCGAACTTGTCTTAGGGCAGTTGTTGAGAAAAGAATTAATCAGTTCAGTTTCTTAAATTGTATATTCTTTCATTAGCTCCATACTTTTTCAATCCCTGTGTTGGAGGTGAGAGTGATTACATGAGTTAGTATCAATACTAAATAGCTAAGCTGTTGCTAAGTAAAATCAGATTTCTTTTTTTGATTTGGTTAATATTGTTTTTGACTCTTAAGACTTGTGAGAGGTTTTTCTTATAAAATACACATAGCAGAATTTGCCATCTTTACTCTTTCTCAGTATCCATTTGTGCAGCCAGTCTCCAAAGCATCTTACCAAACTGCACCTCTACCCATTAAACAACACCAGCGTGGGTTTAGTTGCCATTTGTATACATTTTAATGACATTTACTTTCATGAGCAATCAGTTTGTTCATTTTCTCCTCTCTGTGTGTTTTCCAAGGTATTGGAATGTGGAGAAGAAAAAATCCTTACTTTGACAGAGGTTGAACGATTCAAAGCTCTAGCTGCCCAGTTTGTTAAACTTCTTCGATCCCAAAAAGATAACTGCCTTATGATGACAGATCTACTTACAGAGTATGCTAAAACTTTTGGTTACACATTTCGTCTCCAAGACTATGATGTCAGTTCAATTTCAGCTTTGACACAGAAACTCTGCCATGTTGTAAAGGTAAACAAACTTTATTTTTCATGGACTAAACCTTGTGGGCATAATCCTAATTGAGAGATGTTTACATATGCTCTAGCATTCCTATGTTTGCACAACTTTTTAAAATTTTCTTTACTAGTATGTATTTGCAGTATATAATTATTACATTTATCGTGGGGAGTTGGTACATAACACATCTTAATTTTTTTTTTTTTTTTTTTGGTACCGGGGATCGAACTCGGGTCCTTGCGCTTGGGCAGCAGGTGACGAAACCACTGAGCTAAATCCCCGGCCCCCTGAATTGTTTCAGCGTTTTTTTTTTCCACACATCTTAATTTTTATTGTCCCCTACCCCTCCCATCCCTCCCTTCTCCTCGCTTTTGGTCCCTTTCCCATTTGCAAAAGCTCTATTTCTGGGTGGGGGGTTCCCTTCTTTTTTTTTCCCATCTCCTTTTCCTCCCCTTCCCCCTCCCTCTTATCTCTAGTTCACTTCCTATTTGAAAAAGATTTCCCTACTTCTTATCTATCTTTTATTTGGTCTCTATAGTTATATTTTGGATTTCTCATATAAGAGAAGCCATGTGATATTTAAGCCTGTGTGTCTGATTTATTTTACTTAATATTATAGTCTCAGGGTGCATCCATTTACTTAGGATTGCCTCAAGTTTATTGCTCTTTATGGCACAGTAGTACTACATTATGTATAAATACCACTTTTTGTTTCCCCATCCATTGGTGGACATGTAGGCCAATTCCAAGATTTAGCTGTTAAAAATTGTGCTGCTATAAACATGGGTATGCATGTGTCATTGCAGTATGACTTTTAACTCTTTGAGGAAAATATCGAGCTGGGTCAAATGGAATTTCTGTTTTTAGCTTTTTTAAGATTCTCCATAACTGATTTCCATAGTGGTTATAGTAGTTTACATTCCCATAAGGATGTAGAAAGCTAGCCTCGCCAGCATTTATTACTGTGTTTGATTTCTTGATGCTAGCCATCCACAACTCATTTTGTGTATCACTAATACCTTTTTAGGTAATAGGGGATGACTTGGTTTGGCACTTTAGATTTTTGATCTTCCTTTTTTGTTTTTATTAATGACCTTGCCAAAATAATGCAGTTTTGAACTGATAAAGGTCACTTTTCATCCCAGGATACACCTTCTCAGGTATATCAGTGTCTTGTCACCAATTCAGACTGGGGAGGTTCCCTTGAGATTCAGCAGCTTGAAGAAGAGACACGGAACTGTGAACTGGGTTAAACATCTTTTATTCAGCTGCTTAGCCATAGTCCACCTGTTGAGCCGCTCCTGTGGCCCTCAGCCACTGCACACTTGCAGCAGTTCTTGGCCCGCCAGTCAGCCCATTCTCGAAGCAGTCCTCAGCTGCTTAGTCTCCATTTATACCAAAATACACAAAGATGGCTGTGTGCCAGAAACGACCTTGGTTATAGAAGTTATTTACACCAGCCAGCCTTGACCTTGACTGCAGAAGTAATTTATGTTGGGTTATTGGGAGATGCTCCTGCACTGCAACTTGTTAGCACAGAACCTACTGTCTCCCAGATCCCCCTCACTCCCACAGCCTGAAGCAAAGTACTTCCATCTGGCACTTTTGGGTTTCCTTACAATCAGTTTCGGCAAGGCCAACCTAAAGTTGAATGCCTCCTGACACATCTTTGTTTCCAAGGTATATAAGAGACTACTTGGATCCCTCTTTTCTCCTCCATATCCTGACTCAGGAGTAGGGGCAAGCATGGGCTCAGAATTGCCTTAGTTGCTGGTAAAACTGTATCAGAAGGCACCTTCCTCTTCCCTGATGTGCCCTGAAATGGCCCTCTCAGACCCTAAGAGCAACTGGACAATTTTCAGGCCATCTACAACACAAGACTAGGAAAAGTTACTACCAGGAAAAGAAATAGAGTCATGAAGTGGTAGCACCCCTGTCACAGGTCTGAAAGAATCTGTGAGGTCAAGCCATCACAGGAGACTAAAGGGAGCAGCTAAAAAGTAGGAAGCACCCTTGGAGGCTGGGCATCCCAGAGCCAGGAACAGAAGTGGCCAGCAGCATCCCATGATACTGGGAGGCAAATTAGAGAGGGGCTAACTTCACCTTTGGGTTTAGCCAAGTGAAGATGATTGGTGTCCCTGGTGAGAGCAGTGATGTCAGTGGGGTGTTGGGGCAGAAGCCACGTTGGAGCGGTTTGAGGAATGCAGGGAGGTGAGCAATTAGCAACAGGTCTTCTCCACACCATTTCTAGCAGTTGGCTGTGAAGGAGAAAAATGGGAGGGCAATAGCTGGAGACTATGGAATGGAGTGAGCAAATGAGCTTTTGGGCTGTTGCAGGATTTGGGGGTTTTGTTTCTGAGTTGGAACGACTTAAGTATGTTTGAAAGCCATTGAGAAGGATCCACTTGAGAGGGGGAAAGGTTCATGGGGTGGTATCCTAAGGGATAGGAAGTATAGCGGAAGGAGGAATGGCTCTTAATACTTTGACAAGAGGGAAGGGTGACAGGCTGGGTGCTGACATAAGTAAGGATGATGTTTGTCCTAAGGAAAAGTGTGCTCTTTTCCTAATGAGTAGAACAGTTGAACTGCTTAGAAAGAGGAAGAGAGACAGGACTTAGGATGGAAGATCATAGAGAAGGTGTGAAGTTGCACTGGGAGTGGGGGTACGGCTTTAGGTCGTGGAGCAGGAGTGCTCAGTGTTCACTCTGGGGGGAGCAGGGGTCCCAGTGCTTTGAGGCTGACTGGAGACAGGCAGTCCGGGTGAGACTGCATGGGTGTGTGCCCAGAGAAACCAGGTGAGTACAGCAAAAAGATACAGGAGCAAAGAGGTTAAAGTACTGACAGTATTAATGCGGTAGTGGCCCATAGTGCCAGGATGGATAAGGGAAGAAAGGAGAAGTCTTGTGACTGGGGAGAAAGTAAAAGCCATGGTGGTGAGGCTGAGGAAAGTTGAAGAGTTGAGCAGGTAAATCTCTGGTTTCCCATCCCAACATTATTTCCACACACCTTGTGCCTGCAGGATACTTGGGAGGTTTGAATGAGTTATTTTGGAAGTGGGTATGGAGAAGATCCAGAGGGAAGGGTGTCTGCGGTGGAACTGAATAGAAGACGATGTTCCTGGAGATCAGTCGAGAGACGGATAAGCTTCGGTGTGGGCCAAGCCTCAGAGTGTTTAGTGGCCAGGACGATGGGAGTGGTAGGATGGAGTGAGTAGGAAGACTCCCAGCCATGGCCAAAGGCTAGTGATGAGTGAAGCTGAATGATCAGGAGGTTTGCTGTGTGAGCAGCAAAGGTGAGAGAGGCCCCTGGGCAGCTTCTGTGAAATAACTACAGCTCAGACTTCCTGAGCTAGCTGTGAGCGGGGGCCCTTTTCAAAAGCTCCCTAGGTGATTTTAATGTTTAGTCAGTGTTGAGGATCAAGACATGATTCTAAGCAACAAAGGCGCAGGTTGTTGTATCATTTTGTGTTTTATCTTGAAGGGCAGGTAGTAGTGGTAGTCTGGATATCTAAGAGATGACGCACTTAGGGCCAGGGATTTAGCTCAGTGGTTCCGCTGCCTGCCTCGAAAGCACAAGGTCCCGAGTTTGATCCCCAGTACCAAAAAAAAGAAGAAGACACATTTCCCTGGATTTGCCTCTACTGGTTGTTTTCAGCTCCTTCTGAGTAGGAAATCTGTATAGTTCCATGACTGTGTGAGTTGAGAGGAATCTTCTGCCTTGGCTCAGGGTGTGCCTCAGAGCTAAGCAGAGATGCACCGGTACTGGGATGGCTCTTCAAGTGCTGCTCACCTCGCTGCTTCTAAAACTTCAAAGCTCCAAAGAGGAGAAGCATGTGTCTCTAGGCATTGAGACCTTTGGTCCTGGCAGGAAAGGCAGGTAAAGGGAAAGTCCCTGTAAGAATAGACATTGGTTTGACTTACCAGCGCCTAATGTGTCCTGAAGAATATGTCCTGAAGAATGTGTCCTGAAGCTCTGCCTACATCAGTTCCACGAAACACCCAGTTCACAGACTACATCCCTCTTCCTAAGGTCTGGTGGTCTCGGTCTTTAGTGGTTGTTACTGTGTATGTTACTGGTCCCCAGATGGTGACTAGTGTCTTCTCTGTAGTTTCCCTTCCAGTGCACTAAATCCCTTTTTACCTCCATGAGAATCTGAAATAATTGAAGAATACACATATAGTTAAAAGTGAAAATGCCAGCTTTTTAATTACAACTCATAGACTATAAAATGCAGCCTGGCTTGTGATCAGAATGGGCCCTCTGCCACCCCCAGCAGAGCTTCCCAGCCCCATCCCCCCTTTGAGCACCACAGTCTCAATTCATGAGCTTAGGCTGATGGATAGCACTGGCCAGGCTCCTTGCCATAGTGGGCAGTAGAATGAAAGAATGAACAAAGGAAGAGAACAGTAGCAGTTTTTTCTCCATTATTGCCTTGAGAAAGGAGCTGTTATGGATGGAAGTTTTTGGTTATTGACCAACAATTTCTGCTCTTGTCTCATCCAAAGTGTTCGTCTGGTATCCCGAAGAAGTTCAGAACAGACCCACTTTATTTCAGTTTGAGAGGAAAACAGAATTTTTTCTTCCATTGGTCTAATTAGCCAAAATGAATTAGCTGACTTGGGTAGAATCTAGGTTTTCTCTGCTGAGTTCTGCAAAGTTTGGATTCTCATTTTTCCCAGGTTGCTGATATAGAATCTGGCAAGCAGATTCAGTTGATCAACCGGAAGTCTCTGCGGTCTCTCACTGCCCAGCTCCTGGTACTATTGATGTCTTGGGAAGGAACCGCCCATCTTTCTGTGGATGAGCTTAAGAGACATTATGAAACTACCCATAGTTCTCCTCTCAACCCCTGTGAATATGGATTCATGACCTTGACCGAACTTCTGAAGAGTTTGCCTTACTTAGTTGAGGTACCTGTGTTAATTGTATCATATTGAAAGCTGTTGAACTGGGTATTTCTGGATGACCTATGTGTGTAGATTGGCTGAGCATGTAGAGCTAGAAGGGACCCTAGAGATCTTCATAACCAGTGCATCATTTTCTACAGAACAAACTGAGGCCTAGTGAGGTGAAGGAACCCTGCCAGAATGGGTGGTAAAGTCAAGACAAAACCCCTGATATCTTGATGCTTAGACTCAGGTGCTTGTGTCCTGTACCAGGCTGGATTTTGTTGGTGTTGCATATCTGAATTAGATGATGTAGGTGGTGGTAGCTTCGGGTGACTTAGCAGTGGGGTAAGGATTAGGAAGGTTGCCTGGCCTCTAACCCTGTTGGCTTTTAAGACAAAGTGGGAAGAATCGAGAGAGAATACTAAATCCAGTCCTTGGGCAGCAAATCTAAAAATCTAGAGAAAATAAGATCCTAAAAACATAGATTATCAAAAGTGACTGAAAAAAGTTAAGAACTAGACCAGTTACCACAACAGACTCTAAAGATCATTGAATATTTACCATTAAATAAGGCACCAGGACCAAAAGGGTTAACAATTGAGGTTTTTTTTGTTTTTGTTTTTTGTGTTTTTTGGTTTGTTTTTTTGAGACAGGGTCTCTCTGTGTAGTTTAGACTGCCCTGGAACTCACTAGCCCAGGCTGGCCTCTAACTCGCAGCGATCCTGCTGCCTCAGCCTCTCAAGTGCTGGGATTGTAGACGTATGCCACCACTCCTGGCTTAACAGTTAAGTTTTTAACTAACCCTGAAGGAATAGGTAGTTCCAGTTTTTTAAGAATCATTCAAATCCACCAAGAAAATAAAAAGTTCAACACTTTTATAGTACTAAAATAACTTTAATACCATAAACTCAGTCTCTTTTTTAAAAAAAATGATACTAAGTAAGATGTTAACACAAAATCCAGCAATATAAAAGAATGATGAACCATTGTTGTATAACTATATGATAGATATTTTTAAGATAGCAAGACCAATGTTTTCTAAACTGTTAATTTTATATTCTATAAACTCTAGTTCTGGATAATGCTAATGGATGTTGTAGGACTCAACTTTAATTGACCAGCCAAGGTTGGGAAATAGCCCTCCTTTAGGAGATTCCAGAGCATATTAAAGACTGAAAAGGTTTATGTTTTTAAAAAAACAAAAGACTGCACCTTAACGCAAAGGCATAATAGTTTCTTGTGTGTGTTTGTGTTTTGTTGTCTGTGTTTTAAAGAATGCTGATGTCTTCCTCTGTCATAGTGTTTCTTGGAAAACTAGTTTGGGAACCAGGCTTAGTGGTGCATGCCTATTATCCCAGCATTCTGGGAGCCTGAGCCAGGAGGATCACAAATTCAAGTCCAACCTGTGCAACAAAGCAAGACCCTGTCTCAAAAAATAAAATATAAGAAGGACTGGGGATGTAGCTCAGTTTGAAGGTCCTGGGTTCATTCATCACTACTGCAGAAATAAACAAAAGAACAAACTTGTTTGGAAGATGGGGTGTAGTGGCCTTAGTCCTGCTGTCCAAGCAGCTCTCCCCATTAAAGTTAGCCTCTCTGCTTCACTGCCGTTTTGGTTTGAGACCACTGCTTTCCTAGTTTGCTTCTCGACTCGCCGTCTCTTCCCAAATCTGCAGCATTAGACTTGCAAGTGAAGTTTGTTCATGGCTCTGGACTTTTCTGGGAGGAGACCCTGGAATGAGGCCTCTCCCCTGCCCCTCCTCCACCTCCTTCAGTCATTGCCCATTTTCAGACTGACTTTGGTCTTTTGCAAGCTGGAAGCCCACATTTGAGGGAACAGGGTCAGTCACTCATGAAGTTTCTAATCCTGCTTTTTCTTTTGGACCAGGTTTTTACTAATGATAAGACAGAGGAATGTGTGAAGCTCACAAATCTGTATTTATTTGCAAAGAATGTGCGGTCTTTACTTCATACTTATCACTACCAGCAGATTTTCCTTCATGAATTTTCTGTGGCCTATACCAAGTATGTTGGAGAAACACTGCAGCCCCAGACATATGGCTACAGTAGTGTGGAGGAGCTCTTGGGAGCAATCCCACAGGTGGGTGTTTTTCTTGGTTTCTTAGTGTTTTCCTGAAGAGCCACAGGCTAATTCCTGTAAGATGCTGCCAGAATAATAAAATGGCTGGCATTTTGAACTGATTCTTTCAGAACAGACTTGGCATAAGACATACGATTTTAGTGTTTCTCATTGATTCTGTAAACCTTTATTAAATTCCTGTATGCCAGGTGAGTAAGTTTCAGACCTGACCCTCAAGAAAGTGCTGGGTAATGGAAGACTCAAGACACCTAAGCAGTGATTAGCCAGTGTGCTCAGCAAAGTGATAGCTATGAGCCTTCTATGCTCACTGTGCACATTGGCGGGGCTCACTTCCTGGGCAATGCAGGTGTCCTTACCATGTGCTGAGGACCTGAGAGGTCACTTCTCACAGGGTATCGTTAGCAATTGAGAAGCAACATGAGATGTGGGAACACTAAAACCCTTGCAGAAGGGGGCTGAGGGTGTCAGAGGTAGAACATTTGACCGACCTGGGTGGGGCCTCCCTGTGAAGTAGGAACAAGGTTTTGAGGGCTCTGCTCCCCCAGGTAAGAAACTGAACCATGCAGTGGACACAGCAGGAGGAGCCCAGGTTGCATTTGGAAGGCATCACAGTGGCTGTTGTCCTTAGTAGAGGTGAGGGAAACAGAATGGAGGAGGGAGCTTGCCTAGTATCCTGGCCATTGCAGAGGAACCAGAAGTGTTAATGAAGGGGTTGAGCCAGGTGAAAATGTGGGTTGAGCATCCCTAATCTTAAATCTGATGTCCCAAGTACTCTCAAAATCCAAAACTTTTTGAATGCCCTCATGAAGAAACAAGTGAAAAATTCTATACTGGACTTCATGTGACAGGTTAGAGTGCAAAGGCCAGCAACTAAAAATATTGTATAAAATACCTTCGGGCTAGGTATATAAAGTGTATGTAAAACATAAATGAATTCTATCTTTCACTTTGGGTCCTGTTCCCAGAAGATCTCATTATGTACATGCATATATTCCAAAATCCAAAACAGCTAAGAGTCTGAAACACTTCTGGTCCCAAGGGTTTCAGATATCGAATTCTCAACCTGTAATGAAATAGAGGAAGTAGTGAGAACACAGATGAAGAATACTTGGGAACTGGGATCAGAGACTTGGTGACAAATTGCATAGAGAAAGCCCTGGCAGCTGAGGGCCACCCTCCACCTCCAACCTGGCTGAGGAGGTAGAGAGCGTCTATTAGGTAGGGGACTTTGCCTCTAACATTATGATCTGTAACTTAGTTTAATGGATCTGGTCTGGGAAATCTGTATTCTTTTAGGTTATATTTAGATTCTGGAGAAAAAAATGGTTAAGAGCTTTCATAGTACCTAAGAACTTTCTTAATTTATATATCTGAATTGGTGTTTGAAAGGCAGTCTTTTGAAGAATCATAAAACATACTTTTAAAGCTGTGTCTCATGATTTTTCAACTGGTTGACTTTTTCAAAGGGAGGTGATGCTGTCAGCTTCCTTCTATTGCTTTCAAAAAACTAAAGAAAGAGAAGGAGGGGCGGGGATTTAGCTCAGTGGTTTCGCTGCCTGCTGCGCAAACACAAGGACCCGAGTTCGATCCCCAGTACCAAAAAAAAAAGAGAGAACAGGAAAATTATTCTTGGCATTCACTTGGTTTCTAAATTCTAGCATGTTTAAAGCAGGTACAGTGGGTCCTACTCTTCCTGAATGCTAGGGTGATTTCCCCTCCCTTGCCACTGCTTAACCAGTAGTATGTCTTGTGTGCAGGTGGTCTGGATAAAAGGACATGGTCATAAGAGAATTGTAGTGTTAAAAAATGACATGAAAAGTAAGTAAGCACCTGTCCCCTGCCCCTTGAACAGTCACGGTTCTCTCTGACTCTTCTCTCTGACGGGTGCCCCTTGTCCTCTAGGCCGGCTGAGTTCACTCGGTCTATCCCCCGCCAGTCATGAAAACTATGCTGCAGACAGTGAGCAAATCCTGGAGGTGCCCGAATTGGACACAGCCTCAGAACCCCAGCTCGGAGCAGGTAATAGTGTTACGGGAGGAAAGGCGAATGAGGCAGAGCTTGTGAAATTATCAGAGAAATGGCTTGGGGTGGGAAATGTGTGAAGGAATGACAGCAATTCATTGCATTCATTAGTCACTGCTTTTCCAAAGTAGATTTGTGTTTAATGTATAACAGAGTAGAAACAGGCTTGTATTTGATTGCATTCTGTGATTAACTGGTTAGGGTCCCCCCATAATGATAATATTCCAGTTCAGGTGTTCAAAAGTATCTGACAACTTGGTAAAATTGTAATTCAAGACTATTGCAGTAGAGAAGAGCGCTTAGTTCCAAATACAATGAGGACAAGTGGGGATTTAATGCCAAGGAGCAGAATGAGGGGGGCCAGTGGATAGCAGATCACAAAAAGGATGCAGCAAAGGTTGGGAGATCTTGGTGAATTGGCCTAACAGGATTCTGCCAAAAGATTTAGATATCGGCTTAGGGGTGAGGAATTTGATTAGATGTCAAAGTGAGGAGGTTACAAAACTGATTCAGCAGGATTCCTACTAGAGCTAGACTTGGGGGCTGGGGATGTAGCTCAGTGGTCCTGCACTCAAGGTCCTGAGTTTGATTCCCAGTACAGAAAAAATCCATATAGGTATAGATACAGATACAGATATAGACATAGATAGAACTAGACTTAGGCAAGGACAGGGCGGACAAGACAAGATTAAACGCAAGGCTTAGCCCAGAAGAGGACTCAGGTGTTAGTTAAGGAATATCTTTGTCAGAGGACTTCCCCGGGAAATACTTGATGGTAATGTAGTAGTAGTTCTCAAAAGAACTCTCAATAACATTGACTCACAAGGTTTCATGTAGAGTCACCTCTGTAATAGATAGAAATGAACTCTCTTAAATTTTGTGTTTCAACTTTACTGAAGGACATTGAACCTATTGTTATGTAAGATTGTTATCTTCCACTTTGTGCATTGGTAGAAGCATTAGCGTACTCTGGTTATGTAGTGTTATCTTGCTAAAGTACCTACTGTAAGTCATCTCCTTACACTGTCCTCAGAACCTTCAGCAGGAGTTACCTCCATTCTGCAGCTGAGGACCTGAAATTATAGGAGTTGGCTAAGAAATGACAAAACCGGGATCTAAGCCTTCTAATTCTGAGCTTTTGCTTATTTAACTACTCTGCCCCTTCTTGGGGTTTTGCATTTCCCCTCTTTAGACGCTATTGCAAAGCCCTTTTTGTTGGTTGTGTTCTCTTGAGGGACTGGTGTTCCTAAGAGTACAAATATTCAGGAGATGAATGGTTTGTGGCTTTTTTTTTTTTTTAAGAGTAGGAAAAATTTATTGAGAGAAGGAAAGCTTCTAAGAGAGACAGAAGGGGGACCGGAAAGTGGGTTGCCCCAGCATTTCTTAACCAAGGGTCTTCCAGATAATTTTTGTAAACCTTGAGTACTTACTGACTTGCTTTTTTTTTTTCTTTTTTTTGGTACCGGGGATCGAACTCAGGACCTTGCGCTTGTGAGGCAGGCAGCGGCACCACTGAGCTAAATCCCCGGCTCCCTGACTTGCTTATTTTTTAAGGCTGAGAAAACTTCAGGTACAGACTGGTGTTTGCCCTTAGGGTAGACCGCAGCCTCCTTTCTCTGTTAAGGGCCTAGTGAAACAGAGCAGGAGCTTCTCCGCCTGGCAAGCAGCTCCCCTGTTGACCTGCTGTGTGCGCCTGTCCCTTCATGCCTGCCATCCCCTCAGCTGAGACCAGATCCCGTTATCCTACAGTCTGCTGATCTCATCCAGTTTGAGGAACACCCTCAAGAGCCATCTGGTAGGTTGCTCTACTTGGTGGGTCTTTCTTTGTGGATTAAAATAAGTAACCATTATGCCAGTATATTAAATGTTGGAGGGAAATCAAAAGAATTTGGGACTTTCTTTCCTTATCAGGATTCCTGCCAAATAGGATTTACAATCCAAGGTTGCTTGGGGAGGGAGCATCAAGCAAGGGAACAAAGGTGGTCTGAGGGTCACATGACATCACTAGACTGTGAGATCCACAAAGGAGCATGGGAAATGCCTCTGGGACTTCTGGTCTCTCAGCCTTTTCAGAGGTTTGGCATGGGAATACTGATGTGGTTCGCTCTCTGGGCTCTGAGGCCTAACCCTTGCTGATCACTCTGTGATGGGGGCCCAAGGGGTCCAGGAGATTTTTGAAGGTGTGAGTGGAACAAGGCATCTACAGCCTGATCCCTGGTCGCTGCCCAGTGACCTAAGAATAGAAAAGCTGACCTTGTCAAGTCCCACCTTAGTGCCAGCGTTGTATGGTGTGCATTAGCGTCGCTCATCAGCTGCTTGTCCTGTGCTCAATCCTGACAGGACACGATCATATGTAACTCAGACTAGACACTGCAGGGTGGGTAACTAAGGCACAGCTCGCACCATAACTAGAGACACAGCTGGACACAGGTTACACAGGTAGGACATGGCAGAGCCAGGATTTGAACCCAGCGACTCTTCCTTCATTCAGTGTCACCTGGCTTTCTGCAGGGAAGCCCCCTGCTCTGTAGAGAGCTTTCTCTTTTCTTTTCCATACCTTGGAATCTGGCCCTCCCCACTCTGCTGGTAGCACTTCCAGCGCCAGGACAGCCTGCTGCTGCTGGGCTGACTTTTACTCTCCTTAGTCTTCCTGAACATCATTTGGCACTGTTAACCAGTGAAGGAACTGAAGCAGTTTACCTGGAAATTGGGGAGTGGGGGACATAAAACAGCTTGAGAAGAGGCAGCCTGTGGGAGAGGTGGGAGACTCCAAGTGTGTTCCTCTGGAATGTCTAACTGGCATTGATGGCAGAATGATAGTAGCTTTTCTGTGGGGTTGTAGCTTTTATGCATTTGGTATACATAAGCTCAACCATACACACGTGACAAGGGAGAGAAGAAACTTGAAGAGTATGTGCTGGTCTGCTCACAGCCTTCTCAGGAGCTGGGGATTCTGCCGTCCCTTTTGTCACTCTCGCCGTGTATGTGCCTTTGGTAGCAGGGCCCACTTGATGCATGTAGTGGACGCCAAGATCTCATAAATAGCACATCATTCTCAAGCAAGAGGGCTTTGATTGTACTGCAGGTGAATAACTTGTGGCGCAGCCAAAGTAATAGTCTGTGAACACTGCAGAGGAACTGGCAGTATTTGACTTCCTAAATTTCTTTAGGGTAATTTTGACTCAGAACAGCTCTCCCCTTAGCACCTGGACTTAGAGCCTTGTAAATAGAAATGGAATGAACCAGGAGTTCCCTGGGACGAAGGCTCCTCGTCTCTTGGCTTAGAAAGTTTATGCATGGCTTACGGGTCCTTAACAGCCCAACAGAGAGAATCCAAAGAGAAAAACATTGCTTATTGACTTGTAGCTAAAAGTCAGATCTCTAAAACTTTATAATCCAGGGGAGAAGTGAGATGCAGCTTGTCAGTATTTGAATTTTGTGACACAATAACTGGGCACACAGCTAATAATGTAAATTGTGGCATAGGCGTGACATTTGGTGGATTGTTTTTAAAGTACTTTTTGAGAAAATACAAGTGAGAAACCCTAACTAACGTTTTTGTTGGAGCCTATTAGTAGTCTGTGTTTGCAGTATGTAATAGTTACGTCCTCTTTGGAGAGCTGGCATGCACATACAGCATATCTTGATCATTTTCCATCCCTTTATTCCCCTCCCCCACCTCCAGAAAGTCTGCTTTTTTGTTTCCTACCATCACTCCTTTATTTTACTCTTTTGTTTATTTATATTTTGGGTTTCTTATATAAAAGAAACCATGTAATGTTTAACTTTCTGTGTCTGACTTATTTCACTTAACATTATGTTCTCAAGTTCTGTTCATTTTTCTACAAATGCCGTGATTTCATTCTCTTTTGGGGCTGAATAATACTCCATTGTGTTTATGTATCACATTGTATTTGTCCATTTGTCTGTCGGTGGCCATCTAGGCTCTTTCCAGAGCTTAGCTGTTGTGAGCTGTGCTGCTCTAAATGCAGGTATGTATATATCACTGTAGTATGATGTCTTTAACTCTCTTGGGAACATACGTAGGAGGTGTATAGCTGGGTCAAGTGGAATTCCTATTTTTAGTTTTTTGAGGACTGTCCATACTGATTTCTGTAATTGTTTGTATAAAAATTAATACTGCTTATAAGTCTTATAACTGAATCTGTTTGATTTTTGTGTTTATAGAAAATAAGATTTTAAAGCAAGAAGAAAATATTGAAATTCCTGTACCAGTGAAGAAGGAAAACCCACCCTCTGATTCCAGCTCCTCTTGTGTCACCCCAGTGCCTCCCTATCCCACCTCAGACACTCCTGAGTCACTGCTCAGCAAGGACCCCGTGGAAAGCCCAGCCAAAAAGCAACCCAAGAATAGAATAAAATTGGCAGCCAACTTTTCCTTTGCACCTATAACCAAGCTTTAACTCCCATTTTGAACATAGAATTAGGATGGGGGAAAAAAACTGTCTGATTCTACACACAAAAATGGGCTCAAAAAACATCCTTTTCTGTTTCAGTGAACCCCCCTCAAAAGCCACTTCTTTAGATGTATCCCGTGATGTTTTTGTTTCTTTTACATTGGATTCAGCTTTCAGCTGAAGTTTTTTTCTTCCTTCCTCTTTTTTTTCGGTTATTTGAAAGAACTTCTGACATTTGTCAAAGAACCTTTAATATATTTTACCAAATTCTTCTTTATTATGAAACGCAGTGGTGGTCCAGAAGAGGGTAAGCAGTGAGAAGTCAGGTAGCAGGAAGTGGTTTGACTTCCAGTGAGCCACGGTGGTGGTGTGACCCTCCGTGTAGCACAGTGGAGCTCCTTGGCTTGCTGGTGTTCCCGACAGTATTATCCAAATGCATGATGCGTCTTTGGAACAAAGCCTGTTCTGTGGGCCTGGGCATTCACACATTGAAGGTGAAGGGCAGATGAGAAAATGAGCTGTTTTCAGGTTGGAATACGAAGGTTCTTGGCTTCCCTGTGACTTGTAAGTGTCTCTTGTTTTTTATTTAACAGTGTCTGTAGTCGACAAATGTGGCTTCATCACAAATTTTTTTAAACATTTCCATTTTTGGGTTCCATTTTGGAGCTTTCTAGAAAGTTAAGGATTTTTACGCTTCCCTTCTACACTGTTCCAGTTTGAGGTGGATTAGGTTAAGGAAAAGGAGATGGTCTTGATGTCATGAATTTAAGGTCAACGTTTGAATTACAGCACACATCATTGTGTGTCAAGAGGCAGTATTGGAAAGAGTCTGATTTTCTAAAATATGCATCAAATGCATAAATTATAAATCAGAGCTGAGTGGTGAAGTACTTTAACAGGAGCAGAATTGATACTATTTCCACTAGGAAGAGACAAGAATTCTATCTATACATGTGAAGGCCAAGGTTGATCAACTTAACCTTGTTTTTGTAATTTTAAAGCAGGTTTTCGTAGCTGGGAAGTTTTTTGTCTGAAGAAGGGTGTGTGGAGGGGTGTGTGTGTGTGTGTGTGTGTCTGTCTGTGTCTGTGTGTCTGTGTGTGTGTGTGTGTTAGCTCAGTGTCTTTTAATAGCATCTGTTTTTACTCTTGCTACTTGCTGTTGGATGCGTGTGTGTGTGTTTGTGTGTGTGTGTGTGTGTGTGTGTGTGTGTGTGTGTGTGTGTGGCCTGATGCTAGCATTTGGGAAAAGCCAGCCTTTAGGGGCACTGCCCTGTGGAATGTCCTTCCTCTGTGGGTGCCAGAGGTGTCTGCCCAAGGGTGGCCTCTCACCCCTGCTGGAGAAACCTGACATTTACAATGGATTGTATTTGTTGGGCAAAAAAGGCGGATTCATTCATAGAGCAGAAAAACCTGTTGGCGTAAGGTCTTCCACTAGTTAGATGGTTTCTTTTGGGGACATGTTTATGTTTTTTTAGTTTCTAGAAAGCCAAAAAATGGGCTCTCATTTGTATCCAGCATTTTGATAAAATGCCACAAAATAAAGGCTACAGAAAGATTTTTATGAGTTAGGTTTTTGTTCCCCAAACCTTTTAAATGAAGCCAGTGATTCCCAGTTCTCAGTACATGCCCCAGTCAAGACAGAACAACCCTGGAAAACCCTTCTAAAGTATTAATGGCACTTTCCAAATCCTTCTGCAGGCATTTCCGCTACAGACATAGTGTTACAGGAAGTAAAATGCAAATGTACAATTTTTAAAAGATGCTTTTAAACAACATGATAAAGTTGGTGTTGAGAACATCAGTTGCCTTATACTGAGACTTCATAAGGCCGAGTTTGCATGGTTGGACTTCAGTTTTGCTAGCATGTAGAAAATTGTGGACTTTAAAAATGTGTGAGGGACCATTACAAGTCACTTGGAACAGTCTCAAAGAACAGGTTCTTTGGGCAGCAGAAAAAGGTGTCCTGCACTATCGTGTGAGTGTTCATACCATTTACTGGAGCTGCCAGTTAGCCTGGGACACATGTGTGACTCACAACTGCTGTTGAAAAATGTGAAAATGCAGCAGAAGCACGTTGTGTTCATGGTGTTGCCCACAGTGGCCAGTCCAGTTCCCATCTATTTTTTTATCCAGAGGCCTAATTAAATGATGACAAAATGATGAATGTACATTAATATGAGAAAGTGCTTTATTTCTGGATGGAAAGATGTACCAGCTGAGATTTATCTGTTAAAAAAAAGACAAAAGTTATCACCAAAAGCCCCTTTCCCATCTTGCACTGTTTGTTTTGGATTGGGCTTGGGGAAAGAGATGTCTTTCTTAACTGTCTATTTTGTTTGAACACTTTTTTTGTGGTTCAAGTGCTGTTTTGTGTGTTAGGACCAAACAGTTGTCAATAAACTTTACAAGCAAGCATCAAATCGGAGTTTTCCAAGTGAGTGGTTTTCTGTCAGTGTTTTTGTGGGAAGGGATTATAAACCAATCCAGTTCTGTCCTCTTTCATTTTGTGCACACAGCCCCTCCTCCCTGCGTGCCACTCCTCTTTAGACGTGTGAGATGGCACAGTGGTGGGGCATCACAGAGGCCCTCGGCTTGGCAGTCCTCAGGTGGGGACTGGACGACAGCCTGGGCAAGATCTCGTTTTCCACCCTTCGTTTCAACTCATTTTCAGGTGGGGAAATCAACAGCTACGCAAACTTCTGGTTAGAAAACTGGAGCATTTTTAAGATCTCCCTCTTGATTTTTAAATGAGCCAGTTTGGAAAGGACGTCTTGCAGGTGCGTTGGTAAAGCACCTGTTACCCAGCTCCTGCCACTACCACCCTGGTTAAGAACATGAAAAGAGGGCCAGGCATTTAGCTCAGTGGTTCCAACGCCTGCCTTGCAAGCTCAAGGACCGGAATTCGATCTCTAGTGCCCCCCCCCAAAATGAAAGGACCCTAAAAACATTTGAGTAAATTGCTTTTTTAAAAACTTCAACATTAAAAGCTCCTAAAGACCTTTAGCAGTCCTTTCAAGACATCTTTTCACCCTAGCAAAGTTTTGCAGGAAGTTATGCCCCTTTCAAGTGGGCCAAGGAGATCTTTTGAGGGGTACACCACTCTGGAGAGAGACATGCAGAAGACTGGTCTGATTTGCCTCTGAATTAATAACTCTGAGAGGGGAATGTTGAATGTCCTTTCCAGGAGAATTCGTGGAATTCTGCCTGGAGACAGGCAGCCCTCAGGAACAGGTTAGGTTGGAATATGATGAAATCTGATGACAAAAACCAGATTAAAGTAGATTCAGGAGGGAGCTGGAGAGCAGATAATGGAAATAGGGTATAAAGGGTAAAGAAGGCTGTGAAGATGTGGAAGACAGGAGTGTAAAAAAAATGGGAGCTCAGCAAGAACTTGTCTCAGAATAAGAAATGAAAAAGGGCTGGGAGGTAGTTGATGCGAAGGCCCTAGGTTAAATACCCAGTACAGTGGACCCTTAACATATGAACTCCATTTGTTCTCATGGGCTGGTTGTAACTCAAGTTAGTTGATGGAAGTCTCAGGCTCCTCTACACAGCCTTCAAAGTTTCCTGTATACAAGCAGATCTGTGTCCTTGGGGAGACATTGCTCAAGATTTCTCAGTTAACCCCACACAGGAAAAGTTGTAATGTTCCTTCCAGAACTCTTTAAGGGTTAAATCTATCAGACCATCTGGAAGCACAAGCGGCTGGCATTCAGGTTGTAACTCAAGACTTTGTAAATTAAAACTAAAATTCTGGTTGTGGGCTGGGGATTTATCTCAGTGGCACTGCCTGCCTCACAAGCACAAGGTCCTACGTTCAATTTTCAGTACTGAAAAATAAAATTCCAGTCGTAACCCAAGTTGTTCATATTTCAGACCGGTCATAACTCGAGAGTCCACTGTACCACAAAAATGGAGGTGATGGAATGAAAGGTGGTATTTTGGGATTTTTTTAATGAGGGGGAGGAGAAGAGAGAAAGTTTATAAACATGCAAAAAAAGAGACAGGACTATCAAGGCCAAAGGAGAGAGGGCTGAATGGTGAGTGTAGCACTAACTGCCTGTGGGACCTTGGGCCATGGATTTACTGCCACCTTCTCACCTGTAATGAGGAAGTCATAATGGGATCTGCCTTGTTGGGCTGATGTGAGGCGCAAATGTGCTGATGTGTGTATATTGCTTAATTCACAGTGATAAGCTGCAATAAATGTGACTTCTATTAATGTCTTCCCCAGGCCTTCAACAGGAACGAGTCTGGGCCTGCAGGATCCCACAGCCTTCAAGGTGTCAGGTTTGCAGCAGCCCCGTGATCCAGGAGCACATGAATTACTACCTTCTTCTGCTCTTCTGTGGAAGTCTAAATAAATGTTTGCTTTAAAAAAAAATCAATGGAATAGCAGGAAGCTACAGTAAGCCCTGATCCAGGGCCTAGTGGAAGTGGTTTTTATTGAGGATCCAATTACCCCATGGTCTGTCACACTGGTGAGTGACAGCTCTGTGACTGGTCTGAGGTCAGGCCTCCCTGACACACGTTTCCCACCAGAAAGAGAGAGCCAACAGCCCTTTGCGGCCTGAACTTTGACTTATTGTGAGTTAGAGTGGGAAGGGTCTGTAGTGGGTTTAACAGTGGCTCCCCAAAATGCGTCTCTACCTGGAACCTCAGACTGTAATCTCGATTGGAAATACGGTCTTTACAGAAGTGAGGTAAATAGGATCAAGATGAGAGAGAGCATGCAGGATTCGAATAGGCCCTAATTCAGTGACTTGTGTCCTTGTAAGATGAAGAGAGAACACAGAGACACAGGAGGAGGAGAAGGTCACATGAAGAGGGGACAGATTGGACCGATGAACCCAAGCAAGGCCAAGGATCCACTAAGAGCTGGAAAAAGCAAAGAAAGCATCTTCCCTGCAGCCTTGGGAGAGAGCATGGCTCTGCAGACATCTTGTTGCTTTTGGCATCCAGAACCATGGGAGGCTGGATTTCTATTGTTTGAGGCCGCCCAGCTTGAGGTAATTTGTTACGGCATCCCTGCGACACCCATTCAGCCTGGCTTCATGCTTGGTCTAGGTACAGAAGGAGGTCAGGGTGTCCCTTGCTTGAGTGGCTTGGGAAATCTCTTCAGCATCAGAATGGCAGGAAGCAGTGTGGGGACAAAGCTTGGGCTGAACAGAAACACATCAGAGACAGAGTGATGCTGTCCCCTGGAAGGGGCCATCAAACCGAAGTCTCTGGGGCCCCCAGTCCAACATACTCGGGGTCAACTCCAAAGCCGCTGTGTGTGGAGACGCCTGTGCATTCACTTGTGATCTAGAAATATTTTGAAAATGCTACTCATTGATGGCCCAAGACTGTTATTTCTAAGAGTTTATCTTGGGCTGGGGATGTAGCTCAGTGGTAGAGCACTTGCCTAACATCTAAGGCCCTGGGTCCAGTCCCAAGCACTGAAAAGAAAAAAAGAAAGAGTTTATCTTAAGGAAAAATCAGAACTTAAGATGAAGTTTTACCTCCTCAAGACATTTATCATAACATTATTATAATACTGAAACCAAGACACTTTGTAAATGTGAGTCCAGTAATGAGGAAATGAGGACAAATGACAGTGTAATTGCAAGATGGATTACTAACCAGCCATTCTGAACACTTACGAAGAGTATTTAATGTTTACAAAGAACTTTTAATGATGCAAAGAAATAGTGATACAATAAGTGGGGGGAAAAACTTGTTATAAAATGGTACAGTGGCCAATCAGGAAAAACAAAATGCATAAAAAAGACTTCAAGGTAACATGCCAAAAACTCAGAGGTCTGTAATTAGAGGACTCATGGGTATTTAAAAAAAAAACAAACTTCTTTATGCTTTATATACTTTAAAAATTATTTACTGTGTACATGAATTACTCCCATAATCAAGAAGAAAAGTAAAAACTGTTAAAATGCTATGTACGTGGTTTCCATTTTTATTTTCTCTGATGGGTGATTGCGCATCAGCGAATCTTGAGTTACGCTAACTACTTAGGCCGGGCACGACAACATACACGTAGAGAGGTCACACAGGCTGTGCCGGGCTGGCTGTAGCAAAGGTCCATCAAGCTACACAGGTGGGGTTGTTAGGCTGGCTCAAATACATCACATGATGGGACACGGCTGGGTCAGGCTGCCTCTCCTGCCTGGCCCCGTTCTTCACGGAGGTCTTGTGTCGGGCTGGTGGGGCACGTCCTGCTGGCACTCCTGCAGTGGCCTGGGTGGGTGAAGAGGACCTGGGTCTGCGTCTGCTCCGGGTCTCCTTCTCATCCTTCTTGGCCTCAGCATGGGAGCCTCCAGCTCTCAGCTACCTCGTCCGAGCCCTGGATCTGTTCCTGCCCAGGCCTGCCATCTTCACTCTGCTCCACACTCTGGCAGACCCCTCCTGATGTGAATCAGGCCCGGGCATGGGATGAGAGGAAGAGGAGATGTGACCACAACAGCACTCACTAGCTCGGTGTGTAGGGCAGGCCATTGGTCTCCAAGAAGGCGATACTGATGGCACCTGAGAGACGCGTGGGCCAGGTGGAGCCGTCCAGAGCACAGTCCCTGGGAGAGGACAGACAGGGGAGGGGACTTGTGCCCTTTTGGGCCAGGACTGATGGCAGAGCTAGGAAGGTGGGTGGGGGATGTGTCCAGCATGGTGCTAGATTGTCGAAAAGTTACAACTATACACACCTGGGGATCATGCCCCTCTCCCAGTTCATTCAGCACAGTGGGGTTAGATACAGCTAGATAGAAGTGGAGATACACTTTTGTGAGGGAGGACCTTTCCTGGTGGTTGGGTAAATGGTGAGACAGACTCCTGGGTTTGGCATGCTCTGGGGAGGGCCATGCGACAGTGAGGGACTCCCTATTGCTACACTCTGTACAGGGTGGCTGGCCTGCCTGCCACGGCCATGGCCCCTGGTGGCAGTCACAGGCTTGCCTTTAACCCCTTCCGCCTTGGAGAGTTCTTGAGCCCCAGTGAAATGGGGGCTATGACGACAAGAGGGTGGGAGGGGGTCCCCGCAGCCCCGGGGCACCCCACGTGGGGGCTACATGATGTTGCACTGGGTGGCCCCGCAGCAATCCTTAATGAGCGCCAGCCCTGTCTTGGCCACTGTGGGCTTGCTAGGTGGAGGCTCTGCTTTCTTCTCTGCCCGGGAGCCTGCAGCAAAGGAGAGCACAGAGAAGGAGGGGGAGAGGAGATGGGAGTTGAGGAGAACCCCACGTGGGCAGCCCCAGCCCTACTCCGACCCCTGGCCAGGCCCTGGTGTGGGTGTGCACTTTAGATGGGCTAGTGACTGCTTCCACTTTCCGTGGGCCCAGCTTTTACTTCAGCTGCCCGCCAGAGCTTTCAGCGCTTCTCGCAGTCAGCAGCCCTAACCACTGTATCTCCCAAGCCCTGCAGAGGACCTGGGATTCAAGAAGTATTTGGTGAGTAGACAAAATGAGAACTTTTTTCAAGTCCTAAGTCAATACAGCTGAGCTTTAGATGTTTACCTGGGTACATGCTATAGATAACAAGAGGCAGATGAATCTTCCATTAACCTAATTAACCCAAGTTGTTCATATGTCAGGTCGGTCATAACTTAAGGGTCCATTGTATTATCTTTTCAGAGCGCTTCACTTATTCTGTTTTGTCTCTTTCTCAAATGTCTGTTAAAAATAAGCGGGACTTTCTCATTCTATCCTCTCTGGGTAATTCCTTCAAGTCTGCCTTCTACTTTATGAATCATGCATTCAGCTATGTCTGTATTTTGTCCATCAAGCTTCTATCTCAGTAACAATAATTTTTTAGAAGGCTATTTTTTTACATGTCTCCTTATTCTTTGTTTTTAGAACACAGCTTGCACCAGTTGGTTTATTTATTTGCTTGTATATCTATCTATCTACCTATCTATCTTATTTATTTTTTGATATTTTATTTACTTACTTTTTGGTACTGGGGATTGAACTCGGGATCCTGAGCTTGCAAGGCAGGCGGTAGAACCACTGAGCTAAATTCCCACCCCTATCTTATTTATTTTTGTGGTGCTGGTAATGGAACCCAGGGCCTCCTGCATGCTAGGCAAGCACTGTGATGATGGGCCACTCCCCCAATGTACTTATTCTTTTTCACAGCATCCTGCTATTTCACTATGGTTTTTTTCCTTGTCTTATCCTCAATAATATTTTATTTATTGTCTTTAAAATAGTTTTGTTGCGTCTGATTCTTGGGAGGTCATTCTCTTTGTTGCATTACTGATTCCCCTCATGGTAGTAAATTTTTTCATGGGTTTTTAAATTTTACTGAAAGCTCCTTTTTTGAGGAGTTGCTTTACTTGTGGGAGTACTGTGTATACTATGGGCTGCAGAAAGGTCCCTACTGAGCAGTTTTGCATTTCTCCTGCCAGGGTCCCAGAGATTTCACTGTCTTTCAACTAATTTTTATTTTTCAACTTGGGATTCCAGCACCAAATGAATAGTGTAAATTTGGGGCATATACTTGTCCCCTTGATTGAAATGCAAGCTTGGTGTTTTGATTTCTTGCCAGAATTGTTTCTTTTTTCTATCTATAACCCTACATAGAAGGCAAGTTTCCTTGCTCCTCCAAGCTGTCAGGTGGGGTTTTTCTACTTTGGCTTTCATGGAAGAGAGAATCTACTGAGGATGTTGACTTTAGGCAGGGATCCTGTGCCTTGTGGTTTTAGGAACCAGCAGAAGGGAGCACAATTTTTTCTTTCTTTACTCCTGTGTTCTACAACTGTTTTCATGGGATGCCAATGGACAGCATAGAAAACAAGATTTATGGTTATGTAGTTAGTGTCTACTTTTTGAGTTTTATTTTCCCAGAAAGATTTCTAGTCCCTCTTCCTCTGGTAACAGCTCATGTTTCCGTGGCTCCAGAAGAGGGCATGTGACACAGACCTGACCAATCACTGCACTCCAGCCTCTGGTGACAGTGATAGGCCTAAGGGGTGGCAACATTGGCAACAAGAAGGACCAATCTGAGTCATCCCCTGAGACTTATGTACATAGATACCCAGAGAAAGAATCTGACGCTTCCTTGGAGCTACAAAGCTATGGTTCTGGGGTTCAGGCCCATGGAGAAGCCCCGTGTATTAGGGGGAAATGACAGAGACATGCAAAGAAGGGTAGAGATCAGAAATAGTTGGAAAATGAGGGAATTCTAATAGTGTTCAGTCCCTAAGGCTCTAGTTCTTATGGCTCTTCCTCCTTCTGGAGTACATAAGTCTCAGGGGACCAGCTGAATTGGGTGTCCATTTCTTATAACTGAAAGAGGCCTCCCTAATACAGCAGTTAGAGACATTTTTGAAACAGTGAGTCAACGGAGAGAAGAAAGCTCCTTGACAGCAGGATCCATTATCACTTTAATATCATAAGGAACACGAGCCTCCAAATAGAGGGTCAAGTGCTCAGAGATCCTCAAACTTATTTTACACAGAACCCTTTTTGCTCTAAGTATCTTGTAAGGCTAATATTCTCTGAGAAGTGTACTTCTACTTCTTTCAGAGATTCTAGCCCCAATAGTGGTCACCCAGTTCCTTTTGTAAATCCACAAAATTATGTGATTAGGGAGGGACAGCTGCTTCAAGGATCAGCCACATAGATTTTGGGGTTCAAGGCAAAATAAAAATACAAGACTCCTTGTTCCAAAAATATTAAGATTTTCAAGACAGCAATAGCAGAAGTTCAGTGCTCAGCCCTTCTAAGCATGGGGCCTGGGAACCACACGCGCTCCAGGCCCATGAAGCTGACCCTACCTGCTGCCATCCTATGCTCAAGTCTGATCTCTAAAAATTATTCTGTCATGCACCTCTGGGCTATTGCTTTGAAATATCCTTTTTTCTTTCATGAGGGAGGAGGAGGAACAATGCATGCACTCACTGGCTGGAGATTTGGTTACTTTGTCTAGAGGTTTTAACTTGATTCTCAGGAAATCGGCCATCTCCTTATCTTCTTCTTGCTCCCTGGGAAGGCAGATATGGAAGAAAGAAGACAGTAAGCAAGGAAAACATCAAGGCACTAAAAAGATGTGGTGAGAATTAGAGTGTGGGGGCCAGGTATTGGTCCTTGTGAATGGTGCATATATGTTGTTGTGTGCTATGTGTGTGTGCTGTGTGATATTGTGTTTGATGAACCTGCTCTGAATATCAACAATGGGGTACATGGTGACCCAGGGCTAGGGTAAGACCCTAGGACAGAGAGAGGGCATTATAGGATCCAGGTTTCCTGCTGGATCAGTGATCTGGGCAACACCACACCAGACCCTGTACTTTCAAGCGGCTCTGGTCATCTGTTTCCACAAGGTTTGTGGCCAATCTCTGAAAGCAAGTGAACTCAGATCTTCAAGGTCGCAAGGAATAAAATAGGTGGGCCAGCTGAGCTGAGTTAGGCAACACACAGCCTAGGGGGCTGCAGAGAGGGACCTCAAAGGACCAAAGACTAAAGAAGTTGCCTTCACAAAGAGAGACAGCAAAGACTTTGTTCTAGGAAAAAAGTATTCAAGAATGAACATGAGCAGCTTTCCCCATGCCCAGTTTCCTTGGGAACTCCACTGTGGCTCCAGGGTTCATGGTTCTGCAAGTCCAAGTGAGAGGTACATGTAGGTAGGTAGGAGAAGTATCAGAGCCACTGGGGGGAAGGTAAAGAAAAGGACAAAGTGGGTAATTTGAGAGGTCAGGAGAGGGAAGCAAATCAGAGTTTTGGTAGAGACGAGAGGTTTTGAAAAGTTGCCTTATGAGTTGGGAGGATGTAGGGAGCTCTAACATGTGCAGTTCCTCCCTGGTTACCTCCTTGAATGACATCACCTGAGTCACACAGGCCTTTGCAAGACTTTGGGGGCTAACTTGATATTTCTCTTGAATATGAAATCAGTCCTCAGGCCAGAAGGGTGGGATTCTTTTGGGTTCAGTGTCTGGGAAGCAATCCCAGAGACTATCCTTGTCAGATAAGGCTGTGAGTCCCCAGAGCAGGTCATGAGTTAGGGGGTAGGGTTGGATCTGGCAGCCTCATGCTTCGGGACATGCAGCCCTCTCACCTCAACCGCTCCACCTCTGCGTCGTCCACAAGAAAGTCTCTCTTCTGAACCAATTTGTGGATCTTCTGGATTAGCTCATCCTCTCTCTGCTTCTGCAACTTGGTTTTTTCTTTCTCTGGGAAGAAGAAAACATCAGTAAATAAATGGTTGAGTGTAAATATTTGAAGCACATGAATCCCGTGGGTCAGGGTTGGAATCTAGGCTCTACCTTTCACTTTCTGGGTGTCTTAGTACTTTCCTCATCACTGAGACAAAACACTTGACACCTGCAACTTACAGGAGGGGAGGATTATTTTGGCTCACAGTTTCAATGGATTAGTTCCATGGTCAGTCAGCTCCAAGGTAAAAATGGCATGGCAGAGGGGCATGGTGGATGAAAAGCTGCTCCCATTATGGCAACTGGGAAGCAAAGAATAATGGGAGGAGCCAAGGAGAGAGATACACCCTTCCACATCACGGCCCCAGTGAGCCACCTCTTCCAACCAGGCCCCACCTCCAGCTGACTTTGGATGGAGCCCACTGGAAACTGAGCCAAAATAAGCCTCTCCTCCTCTAAGTTGTGGGTGTTGAGTATATTGTCACATGGATGGGAAAGTGACTGATACAAGTCTCCAAGTCATTGGCCAATGCTCCTCACCTGGCTGTGTCGCATACCTTTGCTAGCAACCCCCCACCCCTTGCCTTCATCCAGGTACCACCAACCTGCTTAATGAGCTGACTCTTTCCTTTCACCAGAATCACTCAGCTACTTGTCCATGAGAACTCCAGCTTGTCAACTTCACCTTCTTTTCTGGCATCACATACCCTGGTTCCTCACACCTCCATAGGCTGGCCATGTGACCCTCCCACTTGCTTGTCATCTCTTCCAGTCATCTCCTAAGCTGGGCTGCCATCATTCTCCCAGGACCATGCTGTGGCTTCCTAGCTGGTCTCCCTGGTCCGTGCCTCCCATCACACCTGACACCCTCGCTGTTGTCCAGCCAGTCCTGGCCTGATGCCCTAGCTTCCCACTCTTTTTAGCTGTGCAACTTTGGCCACATTCCTCAACCACTCTGAGCATCCAATCTCTTAACATAGACAATCATAAAGCTATTGCATGTCTCAGGAGAAATAAATCAAGGGAAATACCTAGATCCCTGACTGGTGCATTGTAAGGGCTTATGAAAAGTTAGCTGCTATTATGATACAGAGTTATTTTATTTTATTTTTTGGTGGTGCTGGGGATTAAGTCCAGGGCCTTACCCATGCTAGGAAAGCTGAGCCATCATCTCATTCAGACACTCAGTTTATGTTATCACTGTGCTTTAATGATTTATGCCCTCCAGATTAAATATTTACTGAACCAGGTATAAAAGAAATAAATACTTATTTAATGGAGGAAAAGCAGACCTCATAACAGTGCACAGATGGGTAAGTGGTTAATAAATTGAAGCCATTGTAATTATAGTCATAACATCATGAGCTTTACACTGTCTTTTAACCTGGGTTCCTCAGTTTCTGCACGATTGGCATTGGGGGCTGCTTGTTTGTCTTGGGGCTGTGCTGGGCACAGCAGCATGCCTGGCCTGCAGCCACTGGATGCTTACAGCTCCCCCTCCAAAAGCTGTGACAACTAAAAATGTCTCCAGACAGTGCCAGATACTCCCGAGATCAAAACTGCCCCTTGTTGAGAACCACTAATTTAATCTTTCCCTAAAACCCTATGAAAGGACACGAGTTTTAGATCCAAGGGGAAGGCACCTGCGGCCTTCACAGCCTCAACCTAGCATCCCCAGTTCTCCGGAGGTGGTAGCAGCAGTGGGCGGGGGTGGCATGAGGCATCCCAGCCTGACCTTGAGAAGCCCTCCAAGCTGGAAGTTCCCCTGGTGTTCTCCATTCACAGTTACCAATCTCCATCGAGGTGCTGGTGAATTATTTTTCTGACCCTGGCTTAAGAAATGTGGTTTTCTCAGATGCTCACTTTACTCTGTCCTCTTTACTTAGTAATACTTTTATTATTGATGTGTTGCAAGAAATATTTATTGGCTTTTCTTCCCCTGAACTGGGCTACATCCATCTAGATACCTGGCGCTGGTACAGGGAAGACAAAGACATCCAGCAAGACGGACGGAGGAGCAGAGGGGAGGAGCCTGCCAGAACTTTCAAATCTGAATTCTTGCATGGAAGCGATGGGAAGGAGAAGACTGCAGGGCAATCAGCGGGATTGGCATTAAGTACCTGGGGTCGGTTGCTCACTAACCCTAGACTAGCTTGAGTCACGTCCTTGGTCTATGGCATCTGTTGGGTGGGACACATTCTGGTGTGGGACTGAGTGCCTCCACCTGCAGTTGTGACAGCCCTGACCTCTGCTGTGGAACATCAGTACTGAACCTGTCCATATTTATATTTTGGCATTGTGCTCTTCTTAGATTACTAGGATACATTTTGATTTTTTTCTCGTGCATTAAAATGTTGTTTATTCCACTACATGCCTGTAATCCCGGTTACTTCGAGCAGGATGGGGCTGAGGTAGGAGGACCACAAGTTTTAGGCCAGCTTGGGCAGTTAGCAAGACTCTGTCTCAAATAAAAAATTTTAAAGGGCTAGGGCCAGGGATTTAGCTCAGTGGTTTTGCCGCCTGCTGTGCAAGCGCAAGGACCCGAGTTCGATCCCCGGTACCAAAACAAAACAAACAAAATTTTAAAGGGCTGGGCGTGGTGCTGGTTTGTGGCTGTACTCTGAGAGGCTGAGGCAGGAGGACGGCCAAGTTGGAGCTCAGCCAGGGCAATTTAGCAATTTAGCTAGAACTTGTCTCAAAATAAGAAAAGGCTGGGGAAGTAGCTCAGTGTGAAGGCTCTCGGTTTGGTTCAATCAGTGTGTTCAACCACCTGTTGCCACACATGCTCTGTAGGCTGCCCCTGCCTTGAGTGGAGCCCTCTGGCCTGCAGGTCCCTCGGGAACCCACAGCCGGCCACACACTCAGGTTTCCTGTGCCTCAGTGATCCCCCATGTCCCCTCTGAGCCAACAGTGGGCCCTGAGAGTCCTCCCTCCAGAAAGGTCATAGTGCTGGGCATGGTGGCACATGCCTGTAACCCTAGGACTCAGGAGGCGGAGGCAGAAGGATCGCCACGAGTTTGAGGCCAGCCTGGACCAGAGTGAGACTCTGTCTCAAAAACAAAAACAAAAAACAACCCAGAGAGGTCATAGTGACCCATGCTAGACCCGTCAGTGTCTCCTGGGAAGTGGGAATTGGAACATAGAGGCCCTGAAAATTGCTTATTGCATAGGGAAACCATGGAAGGGAAAGTGAGTGGTCTTCCCTTTTATAGCTTCCCAAAATGGAGGTGAGCAGCAAAGACCATTCCATTGTCTTCTCATTTCTACCTCAGGCCCTTGTGAGCCTGGGCTGAGCTTCAAGCCCGCAGTGGGTATTACCTCACCACCATCAGAGTCATGTCTACTCTGTCTGGAAATACTATTTCCTCTCCAAAGTTCGTGTCTATCCTGTTCGGAAATAGCCTATTTCTGAAGTAATGTGGAAGTTATGTAGCAGATATATTTAATTCAGCTAAAATTAAGTGAGACTCATTAGAGCCAGCCCCAGCCTGATGATGGGTGTCCCTATAAGAAGAGGAGATGACACACAGAGGCACAGGGAGAAGGCCAGGTGAAGACTAGGCCGCCTCCCACCAAGAACTGATGGGCGCCACCAGAAGGTGGGAAGAGGCGAGGGAGGATTCTCCTCTAGAGCCTTCAGAGCCAACACAGCCTGCCAACTCCTCCAGAGCTGCGAGAGAAAGCAGTGGCAATTTGTTATGAGAGCCACAAGAAACAAACACTGGCGGAGGGCTCTAGAAGGCTTCTCTGCCCTCCTAGTAACCGCCCATTTGGTGCACATATGAGCCTGACTGGGTTTCTGGACCTTTCAAGCAAACTATTCCTGGAAGGAGTCTAAAATGAGACAGTGCAACAGGTCTGTTGCTTCTCACACCTGACTCTTCATCCCAGTCAACCAGGAAGCTTGCTTTTATTTACTTACTTACTTAATTTATTTATATTCTGGTACCTGGGATCAAACTCAGGACCTTGTGCTTGCGAGGCAGACTCGGTGCCACTGAGCTACATCCCTAGCCCCGGCCCTATTTATTTTTATTTTCTTGAGATGAGGTCTCACTCTGTTGCCCAGGCTGGTCTCAAATCCAGGGCTTACGTGGATCTCCTACCTCACTCTTTTCAGTAGCTGGCATTATAGGCATGCACAACCACACCAGACTTTAGGAAAGCTTTTAAACCTTACCAGTGGCAAAGTTCTTCACTTGACCAATTGAATCAGAATTCCTAGTGGGTGGTGTCTGGATTTTAATGTTTTCCCCCATTCATTTATTGTTTTATATGTGACATTTAACTTTTGGGGGTAACTCTACTAAGATATAACTCACACCATGCAATTCACCTGTTCCTAGTGTAAACTCAGACTTGTGCAACCACTGCCACCATCCATTTTAGAACCTTGTGTGTGTGTGTGTGTGTGTGTGTGTGTGTGTGTGTGGGTGGTACCAGGGATCAAATCCAAGGTCTCACACATGCTAGGCAAGAACTCTACAACTAAGCCAAGCTCTCCATTTTATTTTATTTTATTTTTTTTGGTACCGGGGATCGAACTCAGGTCCTTGCGCTTGCGCGCTCTCCATTTTAGAACATTCTAATCATCTCCCGAAGAAACCCTGTCCCCCGGAGTCATCACCTCCTTCCACTTAGAACAGTGTGCTCATTCATCTATTCCCAGAGCCTGTAGAGTGCCTGGCACCTGTATGTCCCTAAAGCACTAGCACCTGCTCCTGCTCCGCGGCATACACTGTCTGTACAGCCGGCCGCTTTAAGCGCCTACACACTGGGTTCACATCATGGGATGTCACAGCAACCACATGAGAATCGCGTTACTGGTCACATTTTACAAATAAGGAATATAAGACATGATTTGGACCCCCAAATCCCCCAAGGGCTCACATGTTAAAGACTGGGTCCCCGGGACAGCAGTGTTCAGAGGCGGGGCCTTGGGGAAGTGACTGATCAGCTTAAAGGGCTGTTGTGAGGTGGTGGGAGCTCCAGGAGGTGGGCTTAGTTGGAGGAAGTAGGTCACTGGGATGTGCCCTTGAAGGGTATATTTTTGTCTCTGGCTCCTCCTTCTCTCATTCTCCATTTCCCAGCTGCTCTGCCCCACCAAATGCTCCCTGCCATGGCATTCTGCCTCAGCACAGGCCCAGAAACAATGGAACCTGACCGTGGACTAGAACCTCTGAAGGCATTGGCCAAAATAAATCTCTCCTCCTCTTAACTTGTTTATATATTGCAGGCCTTTTGTCACAACGACAGGAAGCTGGCTAACACAGACTCAGAGAAATTAGGTTTCTCAGTGAGGGTCACTTACCCAGTAAGCCTGAATTCAACCCACATCTCTGGACCCTAAAGCAGTGGTTCTTAGATGGGGACAATTTCCCCCTCTTTTGGCAATATTTAGAGATGTTTTTGGTTGTCACAACTGGGCAGGGGGATGTGCTTCTGGAAGATAGTGGGTAGAAGCCAGGGATACCACTCAGTATCCTAACAGGCACATTACAGAGCCACTCCCGCCCCCACCAAAAATTATCAACCCCCAAATGACATCCCAAATGCCAATAGTGTCGAGGTTGAGGAGCCCTGATCGTTATACAGCCCCTGTTGGCCAGTGATAGCTGCCATTTATGGGCACCTCTGTGTGCCAAACCCTGTCTCTGTCTACTGACTTGCAAGCTCTGTGAATAGCAAATCCTTCTCAGTTCACCACTGCATGCCAAGCATCTGGCTTGGGCTTTGCTGCAGGGCAGCCTCTGGGGACACACTGAACTAACAGAATGACACCGACATTCATGTCAGGGTCAGTGGTGGGTGCTTCTCAGGCCTGTTCCACTTTTTTCGAAGGCCAAGTTCTTGACATATATCTGTGTTTATTCATTCATTAATCCCTCCTTAGCACCTACCAGGGCCTCATGTATGCCTTCAAGAAGAATGAAGATATACGTGTCAACAGACAATTATCTGCTAAGTGTTTTGATAAGGGAAGGACACACAGAAGCCACCTACCCGGACTGTATGGTCAAAGAAGGGTTCTCTGGGGGAGGAGGCCTGTTACACTATATATCTAGATGTTCCCCTAAAGCCGCATGGGGTCACAGGTGGAATCTTTGAATGGTGACTGGATGATGGGGCATTGAAGATGACTTGTGTTAGGAGGAGGGGCCTGGCCAGAGGAAGTGGGTCAATGCAGATCTGACTTGGAAGATTACAGCTCCCTTCTTGGCTCCTTTCTTGGTCCCCTGCTCCCATCCCACGTGGTGAGCCGCCCTTCACCGTGCCCTTCTGCCATGTATCCAGCCAACTATGGATTGAAGCCTCCACAAACTGTGAACCAAAATAAACCTCTCCTCTGTTTTTGTACTGGGGATCAAACTCGGGACCTTCTGCTTGCAAGGCAGGTGGCGGCACCACTGAGCTAAATCCCCGGCCCTAAAGCTCTCTTCCTTTAAGTTGTGGGTGACAGGTATTGTATTTCAGCAATGAGAAAATGACTAAGACAAAGTCAAATAACTAGCAAATGTAGGGATGGGGAGGGGTGACTCAGTGGTTGAGTCTTTCCATAGTGTACATGAGCCCTTGCTTAACATGCATAAGCCCTGGGTTTGAGTTCCAGCATTACAAATAATAATAATGAATAGCAACTGTAGGTTTTACTCCTAAGTTAAAGCTTATAACCACTGTACTTTACCTAGCCTCAAACTAGATAATAATTGCTAATATTTACTGGACTCTTTGGCCAAATATCAAGCCAAGCACTTGGCTGGCAATTTATTTATCATTTATATTTATTTATATTTACATTTATCACAATGATATCTAGATCCAAGGAGTTAGGTACTATTACTATCACTACCCCATGTTTCTGAGGACGAGAGATTGAGTCTCAGGGAGGTGAAATGAATTGCCCAAGGTCAAAAAGGACTTAAACACAAGTCTGGCAGAATTAAACCACATGTATTTGAATCATGTGGCCAGGGAGCACTACACTGCAAGAATGAGGCCATGCTAGGAGATATGAGCTTTGTCTTCTGACCCCAGGGATACAGACAGGGGAGGCTGGGGTCCCTGAGCTGCTAAGGCCAGGTGAAGCTCCGCACGGTTACCTGGGATGGCGACCAAGTTCTGCAGCTCCTGCTTCAAGTCCATGATGTCCTTGCAGAGCTGGATGTCGTCCATCCTGGGGAAACAGAATGTCATGCAACAGTAGATCTGGACAAAGAAGGTTTGTGGGAGTGGATCAGCCCTCGTAAAGACCGCACAGGCTGAGATGGTTGATTTGGGTATCATCTGGACTGCACTGAGGGATGCCTAGATGGCTGGTGAAGCATGTTTCTGGAAATGTCTCGGAGGGTGTTTCCAGAGCAGCCTGGCCTGCAAGGCAGTGGGGCGAGTAGAGAAGATCCTCTTTGCATGTGGGTGGGTGCCAACCAGTGGGCTGAGGGCCAGGTGGAAAATGACAAGGAAGAAAGAAGGGGCAATAAGGACCAGGGATTTAGCTCAGTGATTCCACCGCCTGCTTTACAAACACAAGGTCCCAAGTTCAATCCCCAGTACCCAAAAAAAGAAAGAAGGGGCTATGTGTGCTCTCCTCACCTCTGTGTTGTCTGTCTCCCTGTCTTCTCCCCAACCCTACCTTCTCTGGGAGCAAGACATCCTTCTCCTCCTGCCCTCTGGCCTTAGAAGTTTGGACTCTGCACCCTTTGGAATGGTTCCCCGGGGCTGCATCATCAGCCTCCCTGATTCTGAGGCTTCTGGACTGGAAGCAAGCCACACTACCAACTTCTCCAGTTCTCCAGCTTGCAGATGGCCTGTCATGGGACTCTGACCCTGTGACCTAATTCCCTAACACACACCCTGCCTTATAGCCTACTGCTTTTGTCTCTGTGGAGAACTCTGAGTAATACACATACTCACTGTATACTTTATGCTCATAAGGAGAATCCAAAAACTGCCCCATTATCCCACTACTCAGAAATGATCGATTGCTGTTAAAGAAACCTTCATAGAGTTTTTCTAGACTTCATGTGTCTGGTGTATCCTGGCTCATGTTGCCTGTTTTGTTTCAGGTTTTTTTTTTAAATCAGTTTATGTGAAAAACATTTAAGCATTGAGGAAATTCAAAACACAAAGTCTTCCTTTAGAAAGGACCATTGTTAACAGTTTGATGTGCAGTCCTCCAAATTTTAAAAAATGCTTATGCTATCATATATAACATCATTATTACTATATAGAATATATATTTTGCAATTGAATTTTTAATGTAATAATTTGGATCATTCAGTCAAAACATGCAAACCTACTCATTTGGGGTGGGGGGGACCGGGTTTCGAACTTGGGTCCTTGGGCTTGCAGGGCAGGCCGCGGAACCACTGAGCTAAATCCCCAGCCCCATCCTACTCATTTTTAATGGATACATAGTTTTACATTTATTGGCAGATATAATTTGTTTAACCATTCATGTGTGCACAGACAACTGAGTTTTTGGTTGATACAATTCTATGATAAATTCCTAGAAATGCAACCTCTGGATCAAGTGACCCGAACACTTACGTTTCAGTAGGAATTTCCAATTGCCCTCCAGGGGAATTACATATTATATTCCCACCAAGAGTACAGTGGGAAGGCGCTCGCTCCTGTAATCTCAGTAACCGGGCTACACATACAGTTTTGCATTATGCATTATAGGGGGGTGTGTGTGTGTGTGTTATAGAAACAATATTTATAACGGCTGCCTGGAACTTCACCAACTAGATTTATAAGGTTGTGTTCATTAAGTCCTTATTTTAACTACCTAGGTGGGCTTTTCAGGTCCCTTGTCCTATTTTGGGTACAATAGATACATGTTAATTCACTTAAGCATTTTTCTTTATGTTGGCTTGTTTTGGGGGAGATAAGTTCAGACTCTCAGAAGTGGGATGACTGAGGTCAAAGGCCTATGACCTTTGAGACATATTCTCAAATCACTTTTCCATGGAGTGTACGCCCCTCTGCATGTCTTTATCGAGCATTTGCTATGCTGACCACTGTCCTAGGCTCCAGGGATGCATCAGCGACCAGGACGTCATGAAGCTGCCACTTTCAAAGCCAACACAGAAGATGAATGCACGTCCAATACATTCATCCCTCAGTCTGCGAGGGAATTGGTTCCAAGGCCCCTGTGATACCTACCAGTCTGAGGATGCTGGAGTCCCTTATATAAAAGGCTTAGTGTTTGGGTATGACCTACCCACATCCTCCCCTATACGTTAAGTCACCTTTGGCTCACTTAACAATACCTAATACAATGTAAATGTTACATAAATAGCCACTAACTGCTCTCATTTAGGAAACACTGACAAGAAGTACAAGTCTGTACATGTTCAGCACAGACACGTTTTTTTCCTGAACATTTGCAATCTGGCTCAACCCATGGCTGTGGAACCCTCGGGTGTGGAAGACTGGTTGTGCTCCAGGAGCTACGAAGAAGACTGAAGCGGGGGATCCCACAACATCTTCCCCAAGAGCCTGACCCCTGCCCTTTGCTGATCTGGAAATACCCACATCCACCCGAATCTCAGCATCCCAGCTTTTGGAACAAGAGGCAGGGATGCTTGTTTCTGCCTGTATCTCTTGTTGCCAGAGGCATGTGGAGCACTTTTCATGCCCTACCCTGGAATGTCCCTAGCAGGTGTGAGCTGCCTCGAATGAGTCTGAGCTTGCCAGAAGGACACGGACTGCTCTCGCTGGCTTTTAGCAGTCATTCAACTGGAGGACCTCCAGAATCCTTTTCCACAACTATGGCAGAGATCTAGCTGTGTCAGTAGTTCGTGGTGAGGGCAGCTTTGGTCCCTGAGGACATCTGGCATGTCTGGAGGCATACAGGGGCACCTCTGTTTGTGAACTTAATTCATCCCACGATTCTGGTTGTGAACTGAATTGGTTGCAAACTAAATCAGATTTTCCCATAAGGTTCAATGTAAATAAGGATAATCCATTCTGAATCATATGTATTTTTAACCACAAAAATATGAAACAAAGTATAGTACAGTAGAGGGAAAACACTGACCTTTCTTGAGGTGATTTCTGGCCTGGAGGACAGGAAGGTGAGTGGGGAGGAGGTTACTGTCTGAAGGGAGTCAGCCCCTTTCATAAAGACATCAGGGAGATCTCTTTCAGGGGTTTCCTCTCTTCTTTGTCTCTTAGCTGCAGAGTTAATTTTTTTTTTTGGTACTGGGGATCGAGCTCAGGTCCTTGTGCTTGCAAAACAGCCGGCAGAACCACTGAGCTAAATCCCCAGCCCAGCAGCATCAATTTTGATGAAAAAAAACTGTCTAATGTCACTTGTTTTTTTCCTGTGCTACACAACCCTCTGGAAATGAGAGACTACATTATCATTCATCAGATTCAACACTCTGTTTGTTACAGTTATGTTGGGGTGGTGCTTCTCAAAGAAATCCTGGCACTCATTCCATTTTGTATAATCACATCACTGCTAACTCCTCCTTGCCTTCCTCTTCCTCAGTGGAATGCTTCTCAACAAGAGTCTTCTGCTGCTCACTCTGAAGTTCAACAAGTTCTTCCATCAACAGCTCCTCCTTTTGGTTCTCAACAAGCTCCTCCATGTCTGCACCATCAGAGACCCATACTCTTGCCCATGCACACAATCTCCTCCACTACCTGTGCCTCAGATGCTTCACAGTCACCTCAGTGACACATTCTGGCCACATCTCCTTCCAGGCTAAGTTTAAGGTCTGGTACATGACATTTTCCTAGGCTTTGTCAATGAGGTTGATGCAGTGGAGGACATTGAAATGTTTCTTCCAGAACTCTGTTTCAGAGTCAAGGATGTTTCTTCAGTGACAGTAAAACACTGGTGAAGAGCACCTGTGTGTTCAGCTTGTTGAAGTTGCAGGTCACTTGCTGATCCATTGGCTGCAGAAGAGATGTCATGTTGTGGGGAGGAACTTGACCTTTATAAAGTTATACTCAGCATCCATATCACCCACCAAGGCTGAGAAGTGTGCTGCGGAATTGTCCATCAGAAGAAGGTACCTTTTAGGCAGTTGGTTGTCAGAAAGATATTTTTTAATAGTGGATGTGAACACCTCATGCAGCCATTCCATAAACAATTGCCTTGGGACCCAAGCTTTCCCATTGGCCTCCACATGACAGTCTGGCCTTGCTCACATTCTGTTCCTTGAATTTATGAGGGGTCTGGGAATGGTACAACAGTAGTGGTGCTTCAGATTGGCAGTTGCGTTCACACACAGCAAAAGGGTCAGTCTGTCCTTGATGGGCTTGTGCTCCGGCAGGGTCTTTTCCTCCTCCGTGACATAGGTTCTGTTCATCATCCTCTCCCAGAAGAGCCCTGTTTCATCATAGTTGAACACTTGTTGAGTGACATATCTTTCTGCTTTCATGAATTCTGTGAATTCTTTTTTTTTGTGGTACCAGGGATCGAACTCAGGACCTTGCGCTTGTGAGGCAGGCGGCAGCACCACTAAGCTAAATCCCCAGCCCTCTGTGAATTCTTTCTTGTAGGGTTCTGCAGCGGCCTTGTCCGAACTGGAAGCCTCACCAGGTCTTATCACACTGTGGATGCCACTTCTCCTGTGGAATTTACCAAACCACCCTCTACTGGCTTTAAATTCATTGTTTGTTTCACTTGTAGAGGGGTTTCTTGTAATAAATCATTGTGCAATTTTCTGGCTTTTTCACAGATCATAGCTTCACTAACACTATCACCTGCCAGCTGTTTCTCATTCACACTAACAAACGTTTTTTTCACCTCTTCCAGCACTTGTGTCTTCTGCTTGATTAGCATCGTGACTCCTTTTGCCATATCAGCTCCTATGATGCATCTTTATTCTTAAAAATAAAGATTCTAAAAAATAAAGACTTCGGTATCTAATACTCTGAGACCAGATCAGTCACATGAATACCACACTCATGCTTTTCTACAATTTCCTTCTTCAATTCAGTGGTTATTTTCTTCAAAACCTTCTCACCATTTTTACCCTGCACTTTCTTGTTACCTTCATTACTGCTCTGCACATTCTTGTCACCTTCATTACCACTCTGTGCTTTCTTTTTACCACCATGCTTACTCTGTACTTTCTTTGAAGCCGTGCTGGATGGACTAATACTGTGTAGTACTGTATGAGCTAAAAAGCTTCACAGCAAGCGCGCATACGTCTG